TTTAAACACAGAGATTCACAGAAAATGGGAAACAGGTTAAAAAAAAAAAAAAAGTCAAGGAATACATGAACGTAACACTGGTTTCTTTCTTTAAATCCTTCTGTAACTAAAAGAATCAACTATAAATTAGAAACTACAAGCTATACAAAACTAAAGGAGTTAAAAATATAAACCTCTTATCAGCATATTGCTTTGCTTTACTAGAGTTTTCTCTACAAAGGGATCAAATAAATGAATTGCCTTGGACTTTGGGCAGCCAGGGTTATGTCTTTGTCAGAAAATAAACAAATACAAGCACATGACACCTTCTCTTCATTGGCTTTACTCACATTTACTTTTTTGAAGAGAGACGTTGATAGGCAGAGACAAGAATTTATAAATCGTAGTCTGTTTTCAGAGGTACAAGAGAAACTAGTTGAGGTGCCTCTGGGTTGGGTTTCAAACCAGGTGCCAGCCCTCAGACAGCCTCAGGCGGCCTCTGCATCACCTTGCAGGGCAGCCTGGGGCCAGGAGAGACCTCCACTGTGTCACTCCATCCGCTTGGCTTATGCTACATGTGAAAACTAATCTCACTGATAGCTCATCAATGCACTTACTAAAGCTGCTTGTTTGAGTTAATGGAGACACTGAATGCTGCTGGCTGTCAGTTAATTTTATTTAACTACAATCTGATTGTATTATTTCCTTATAAATCAAGTGATACTACTCTCATATGAATATAAAGTGATTTTTATATCACCTTATATTTATAATATAAATTTATACTTATAAATCTAAATAAACAATGTGGCACTGTTAACTATTTATATTTATTTTCTTTCTAGGAAATTACAACATTAAAAAGTCTGATTCATGCAGGTTAGGGCAAGCAGGCCTTGGCTGAAGAGAAAACCAGCATGCTATCACACAGTTTGCCAGGCCACTTATGGTCTGTTATGAAGATAGCATGGATGTTCCTCACACAGCTCCCATCCAGGTGCTGTAACAACGAATTTCAACTTTTACGCTGGGGAGAATATAAGCCTCGACAGCAGAGTCAGCTATATCCCTCATAAGGTGCATGGTGAGGCTAACTCTTCACAGGAGTCTGTGGAAAGCAGCCAACATGGAGTACTTTAGGTCAAAGAGAGAATCAAGTTTTCAATCTACTTCTTCGGGCTCAAAGAGGAAACCAAATTGTTGTTAGAAGAATGCCCAAATCCAACCTAAACGATCCTTAGACACCCTGCTGCTGCTGTGGATCGGTGAAGAAAAAGTTGCTGACAGCTTTGCTTCAAACTTCATGTTTTTTATGGGGCTTACAGTACATTTATTTTCTAAAGGACTGTATTTCTGCCAAATAAAAGACAGAGGAAGGAAGTATATACAAGTGAAGTATTGTATAAATACATTTCTCTCTTTTATGAAGGAAAAAAGCATGTATTTTGGAGTCCATGGTTTAGACTGCTGGCTTTAAAGGTATCTTCAATTCTGCTTCAGTAATTACAGAAGTCATATTGATGTTAATAGAATACTTTTAGAGTGAGAAAATATCAGCAAACATCAGAAAATAGATGCTTTCTAAGGCATCTAAGCTAAAGGCAGCATATTTCAGAATCTTAGTAGAAGTGCAGATTTATTCTTTTTTTTAAGTCTTTTTAAGGGTTAATTTTCAGATATCTTCAGCTGGATGCTGGCTTGTTTTTTGTCTTTCAAATATTTGTTTATTGATTCACCTAGTTTCTTGAAGCACCAGAACATGAACATCTGAACCCCAGCAGGCTCATATACATCAATGCTCAGAGTTATTAATTTCCCTAAGCAGTGCAGCCGTTGGTAACCCTCTGCCATATGGCTCATTTCTCTCCTCATCTTCTGCGCACGCTTTCATACATATAAACACATATGATACTCAATTTGTTTAAAATATACCCTCAGCTTTCTGTGAATGTTTTTCTCAACTGGCAGCAATCGTATATCCTGTTTTCTCTCAAGTATTTTAATGAAGGGAGGAGGGGTATCAAAACAGTATAAAAAGCAATGCACCCTCCCTTACCTTGCTTTGGAACAGTTTCACTGAATTTTGGTTCTGTCCTGTCACTGCAGGCACTGTAACTCATGCCACAATGGAAGTGGCCTCAGTTGAAACAGACAGAGGCGAGTGCAAGCCTGGGGAGGACAGAGCAAGAAGACATTTTAGCCAGGGTTCAGAGACACAGACCGTCCTCCCCCCACGAGCTCATTGCCTTTTACACAGCTGCTAGACTCAGCTTTTGGCAACACTTCAGTCCCATGAAGGGACTGTGCAATGTCCCCAGGAAGGAACTTGTGAGCAGTTCTGCAGGGCCACAAGAGAGGAAGAGGCTGAGTTTCAGAAGTGACTGCCCCATTCTACTTCAAAAGGAATTTGCTTTTTTTCCTAATAGTGGCTACCTGACAAGTCTTAAGAATGGTATACACATTTGATTTGGGATCAACCTTGGCACACAAAGCATATTATTGACCAGATTTCTTGAAGAAATAATTCTTATGTCTGCAGACATGGTGCAGCCTCACCTAGCGCACTGTGTGCAGTTTGGGGCACCACAGAATAAAAATTACATAAAACTGTTAGAGAGTGTCCAAAGGAGGGCCACAAAGATGGTAAAGGGTCTAGAGGGCAAGACATTTAAGGAGCAGCTGAGGTCCCTTGGTGTGCTCAGCCCCGAGCAGAGCAGGCTGAGGGGAGGCCTCATGGTGGCCTGCAGCTCCCTCATGAGGGGAGCGGAGGGGCAGGCGCTGAGCTCTGCTCTCTGGGGACACAGACAGGACCCGAGGGAACGGCATGGAGCTGGGACAGGGGAGGGTCAGGCTGGGGGTTAGGGGAAGGGTCTGCACCCAGAGGGTGGTCAGGCACTGGACAGGATCCCCAGGGCAGCGGTCATGGCACTGAGCCTGCTGGAGTTCAAGAGTGTTTGGACAACGCTCTCAGACATGTGGCCTGGATTTTGTGTGGTCCTGTGTGCAGCCAGGCATTGGACATGAAGATCCTTGTGGGTCCCTTCCCACTCAGGATATTCTATGATTCTTTGAGCTGACCACCTAGTTATAGATTTTTATTTCAAACTCAACCACGCATATGCAGTGCATTTCAGAGGAAAGCCCTGTGCAGATGGGCACAGCTGGACATCGGTGGTGTTCCGCAGCTCCACATATGTTATCAATTTTGCGCAGTGAGAGTCTTTGCAGTGCTACATGCCAGCAAGAGCTGGGTTCCCAGGGACTGCAGCTAAAACTGCCAGATGGGTCCTGTGCTGGGAACCAGAAAGTTCAGGAACTGGGATCACTACTTGAAATGAGCTTGGCTTAAATAGAAAAAGAGGACATGATTCACAGGGAGTTGCTTCTTCCTAGACTATAGTCTCATTTAGATATAAATGAGGGCTACCAAGCTCAGGGAACATTCAGAAAGGGTAGGATTTTAGCAGTTGTTCTCCCTTTGCATTGGAAGTGTGCTTTTAAGCGTGCTTCTAAAGCATCATAAAGTACTCACTAATCTCTATTTTTTATAGGTTTCAAGAAATTTAGTTTACATAATGATGATTGAGTAACTGACTGAAAATGAAATACTAATGAGAAGTGTTAATTATCACAAGCTCTGAATTAATGTTCTCATATGTTTACATAAAGTTCTGAGAATAATTCCACTAGAAATAGGGGGGGAATGGGCTTAAGTTGCGCCAGGGGAGTTTTAGGTTAGATGTTAGGAAGAACTTCTTTACCGAAAGGGTTGTTAGGCACTGGAACAGGCTGCCCAGGGAGGTGGTGGAGTCACCATCCCTGGAAGTCTTCAAAAGACGTTTAGATGTAGAGCTTAGGGATATGGTTTAGTGGGGACTGTTAGTGTTAGGTCAGAGGTTGGACTCGATCTTGAGGTCTCTTCCAACCTAGAAATTCTGTGATTCTGTGATTCAAAATCTGAGTTGTGGGAATCCATTAATTGTAAACATTAATCAACTCAAAGTCGAAAACACATAAACAATTTGTTATGGTATAAACCACATCTGGTATAGAAATGTATCTCAAAGAATCTACTTAGATACATGCCTCGGCAGCCCCTCATGCCAAGCTTGCAGACCTCAACGCACAAAGTTGGTGCAAGAGATGAGCAGCAGCAAGCTGCTCAGCTCCCCTTCGCCCAAGGCCCATTCTTATCAGTGACACTAACAAGTCTGACTGTTCTCCACACCCCCTAAGATAATTCATTTTTAGAATTTGGATTCCTTGCATTGATCTTGGCAATTGCTTGCAAGTGCCAATTATAGATTACAAAACCACACTGGAATAGTTTTTAAACAATATTTTGCCTATAGCATTAGACCAGTACTGATTATGGAGTTTTCCAAGTCTAAATCCAAACTTGTTAATTTATCATTATATTTTAATATATTGATATCCAACTACTACATCATGGTAAATATTTTTAAAATATTTTTTTCAGAAGTGATTTAAGCTACTTTTAAAGGCCCAAAAAAATACTTTGCTACTTCTCGAAGCAAAACAGTACTGAGTACTACACCCAAAATATTTTGCGTGGCAGAATCAGACAGCAATAATTCCAGTATATAATAAGATTCTTATTACTTGCTAATGTGCAATTGGCTGCAGGTTTTAAGTCCATCTAATCAGCATGATGAGAACAGAATTTATAAACTAACAGAAAGCAAGGAAATTCAAAAGTTAGTGGGAATAATGACCATTATTGAAACAAAGCACAGCAAACTGAAATGAAATATAACCTTCAATATTATCTGTTACCCTTTCAGCATCTGCTGTTTCATTAATGAAGAGCCAGTCTTTGACATACGGCGTATGTCCTTGACCAAGACATGACCTTGCTGTGCTGACAACCATCAGAACTTTTCCCCAACAGAACAGTCCTTAACATGACCACTCTTATTTTAAGAAACTGCTTGTTTCTATTTCTTTATTTTGCTTCAGTAACGTAGGACGGATGTACATTTGAAAGGAATAAAAATCCGTTAAAATAATTTAAAAAACTTTATTAATAAATGTAACATTTTGTTTCCATTTATTTAAACTTGTAGAAGAATACATGATACATTCCAAATGTGCAGCCAACCAAGGGAAACACTAACGAGAATATTTGAAATAAATAATGCAAGTCTGTAATAGCCAAGTAGTTTCTCAGAAATTCTGTAAACAGACTGTGATTGGGACTTTTCAGGAAGTACTGTCTTAAAATGTTAGATTTCAAGAAGTAAAATTCTAGAAAAATTGAAGTGTGGTTCTTGGAAAACCACCTCTTAAATACACCCATTCAATACTTTGTATAAGCCCGCAATAATACACTAAACAAATAAGCCTTACAATTAACTGAACACAGAATTGGAAATGCTGCTAGTAAGTGCCTCCCTGCGGCTTGCAGCCATTTAATTATAGTAGCTTGCTGTGCGACAGCATGCAAGGTTCCTGAAGGCAGCAAATATTTTAAATAATAGTGTCCTTAATTCACAGGGAAAGCAAAATAAAAGAGACTGACATCCCTTCTGAGAACCCCATGATTGCAGATAGACAAGTAACAGAGAACATGAACGAACCTCTTCACCATGTTCAGTTGTTCCCATGAGAAAACAATGACTCCCTTGAAACAGACACACATTGGAGAAGAATATTTTAAGTCACTACATATGATAATACAGTCTCTGAAAAGGGGACCATTTTACTTGACTTTGTTTTTTATCTGTTCCAGAAAACAACAGAAATATGTTCCCAGATGTGCACGCCACAGCAAGGGGGAATTAGAAAAAGAGCTGAAAGTCTCATCTATATTCAGGTTACTAAGTAATATTCAAATAAATCTCAATGCACTTACTTTATGCTGCAAAGTAATTGACTGCATGGTCCACTACATGATTTCCACCATGCTGTTTGGCATTATTGCCCAATACGGAAATTTAGAAGCAAAGTCATGAAACAGTAATACATTCACTGAGACTTTTTAAAAAGTATTTTCAAAACAGTTAAAAAAAATAAAAGATGTGAAGGTTTGCAGTAAAGAGGAGGAAAATCAGGCTGAATTTGCTTTTGAGGAAAAGCTGCTAAATTTGGATTTTTTTTCCCAAGACAACTGCTTGTCTTCCTCTTAAATTGCCACCATATCATTTAATCATTTCACTGATACAAGTCTGCAGAATTTATGGAACAGTCAAAAGAACCACAGCTAAAAACTTGATAGTCCATAGAAAAGGAACACATTTTCTTCTCAATAGATTCTTACAGAGGTCTGAAATAATATTACAGAGGTCCAAAATAATATTGACAGAGATGCAGACTACCAGGGGACACACACTGTTTGTCTCAGTACTCCGGTAGCACAGGTCATGGCAGCTTTAGTACACAATGTATTCATTAGGCATTCATTCCTATGGAGTTATAATCAAATTATGGAGGAAAAAAAAAAAAGGTGGGGAGTAGAACTTACACAACTGACCCTTTTTGGTTTAACTGTATTGACATGGTCACTTTAAATTAACAAAAAAAAAATATATCTTGAAATACAGCTTTTCAACAAAATTAACCATGCCTGTTTGGTAAACAGCATCTTTAAAGCATCCATATTCATATTCTCACATTGGAAACACACCACTTTTGGACTTGTACATCAGGGACAAAATAGTTATCAAGTAACATTATTTAGGGTGGTATGACATTATTTAAGGCAGAAGCAGAACCTTTGAGTTTCCCATCTCATTTTACAATACAGGTACATTTCCTGTTAGCAGTTTTCTAATTGCAAATTAGTCACTTAAGTTCTTCAAATGAAAATAACAATTGACAGTATGAGAGTTTGCCTTGTACCTTTCACTACGTTGTCACCAGCTATGCAGTCATCCTGATTCTCTTTCAAGAAAAATCTACCAGAAGCTATCCAACATCTCTTAAAATGTGACTAGATTCCACTGCAAGCATGAGTAAGTCACAGACTTTACATATTGGATATACAATGAAATCATTCCACTTGGATTAAATAACTGTATAAGAAACAATACTCCATTCATTCCACTCACATTCCATTCAATGTTATTGAATATCATAATATTCAATCATTTTTTGGCCAATACTATTTGAATTTCTAGTTTTTTATGATACACACTTCTTTATTTTGCACACCATACATTTGTAACTCAAGGCTTTATTTTCTATACCTGATTACTTCTTTCAGAGGTAAACAGTGTCAATTAAAAACAGAAGTGAATTCTCAAATTTTCGAAGTGCGGCAAAGAGTCATTTGGAAAAACCAATGCATAAATCTGTTTCACCTATGTAAACAGCAGCCTCTGAAAATTGCTTTGAGTAAGCTGCTAGCACAAAAGGTATTTTTGTGTGTCTCTAAAAAAGCTTTGTTCAGTGACAGCAAAGTTGAAAAACTTTCCCACTGACTTACAGACAAGTTCTAACAAAAATAATGATTCCCCTGTAAAATCCCTTTAAGTTTCAGCAAAACATACTGAACTCTTCAGATCCTTTACCTACCAATTCCTTAAACATAAACATAACTGCAGCAGAATATACTCAGTAATTAATTTCCAGTGTTCACCTTTATTAAAAACAAGGTCTTTGCTGTGAGAACAAATAATCTCTCATTTGTAGCTTGAAAGCCTAGAATGGGATCATTGGCTTCCAGGGTTGCTACCAGCTGCTTGGCAACCTGTCCTACTTGTCTTCCTTCCTTCCTGTTGTAGAGAACTGTGGACAGAGGAGCTGGCTGGCGGTAGATGAAAACTCGCCGCAAGCACTCACAAAGAGCAGAATAGGAGTAGTCTGGGGCGCAAGCCATGAACTTCTTGTCTTGTTTTGATGCTTGTACGTAACCTGCACAGCCCAAAAAGATACATAGGAAGAAGATGCAATATATTAGCTTCAAGAGCACTTTAAATGGCTAAGTCAAAATCAAGCTTAGCTTCAAAGATAATAAGCAATTACTAACAAAATTTTGAATCTGTGACTAAAACAGGGTTGATAAGACACAGATGGTTTGTCTATGGCCAGACACAGAATGGTTTGTCTATGGCCAGACTTGCACAGTGTTAAGGCTTCCTCTTTTTCCAACTCTTTGCCCCACACAGCCAATAGGTTTAGAGTGCTCAAGAACTTGGGAGGAGACAGCTGACCAAACTCATCAGATGGATGGAGAGGCTCCTTCAGAAAACTGCAGTAAGAAGGGTCAAGATCAAGTACTGCTCCTTTAACCAGCAGCAAAACATTAGAATTTACTTGTAATCTGACCAGTGTTTATTCAAAATTATCCCCCTTTTCAAGAGAAAGCTGTTAGGAGAGATACACAGAGCAAGAAAATTCTTGGTCACTTCAGTTGCCCTTCGATTCCTTCCTTAGGTTTCAGTCTAAAACTTGGACTGAAAAGTAACAATTTTGCAATCTTCATCATTGTATTGCTTGTTAAAAAGTAATCCCAAAAGTTCAAGCAAATAAAGACGGAATTAGCACTAATAGTACAGTTTTGTCCAATATAACAAGTTTTAGAAATTTAGTTTGTTAACCAATAAAATACTCATTTTTAGTTCTAGCTCTTCTACAGTACTTCAAGATTTGGCTACAGATGAACAAATTGAGGTCTTATATCATACATGGCACAAAAAAGGTGTACTAGGTTAGTACAGATGTACAAACTTCAATATAGTATTGTAAAATGATAGGACTATAGGGAGAAAGAATTGGAGAAACATTTTGTTTTATCACCATAGGTATAAAAACATCAAAGATATCCTGATTTCCTTCCTGTTATTTTCAAAACAACTGAAACACATTATAAAAACAGTAATACAAAGTCAGCATAGAAATTGAAACAAGCAATAATTTGAAAAAAAAAATCACCTTAATCCTTATCATCCATTTTTTTCCTAGTATAATGAAATTTGAAACGAGCAAAGAACAAATTGTGGAATTAATCTCTTTTGTTAGAGAACTTTTAGGATACTTACCGCTTAATATGACCATAAGTGAAAATAACAGGCTATTAAAAAAGAGCATTCATATACAAAACCAAATAAACTGCAAAAATCCAGACCAAAATCAATTATGCATTATGGAAACCTATGTGAGCTCTATAAAACAGCTCGTGCCTTCCATTTCATTTTGTATGCAGACAGAGTGGTGTGGTCAAACAAATGTGTTTAGGGAACAGAGGGAATAAATTGTCACACGGCACTGTTAAAGCAGTAGGTCCAGACCACACTTAGAGAACATGAACACTATAATAAATAAATAGTAAATGGTGCACTAGATTAAACGAAACCTGATTTATCTTTATTAAGTTACAGGTACAACAGTGTGCTATGCAGACCATTCTGCTTTATCTGATACAGCGATTCTTACTTACTCTTTTATCTATTTATTTTAAGTATTTTCTGCTTCTTAGCTTATGAACTCTGCTTCCAACTTTCACTAAAAAAAAATCCTACACTTGAGTGCAAGAATACAGCAATAACTAAGGGTTTTCACAGTCACATTTTCTTACATTTCTCGCAGTCTAATCTCAGAGGTAAAGTGGTTTCTGTAGCCATAGCTGGCACAGTTATGCTCTTTATTTTTCCTGTCATGTTTGTTTATTTTAAATTCATTAAAACTTTTCTCATCCACAAGGTTTTATGGAAGAAAGTTCCACAGCATAAATATGCCTTTGCTAAGTATTTATTTTAGTTTCTTTTGAACCTACTATGTACCAACATAATTTGATGTTGCTAGCTCTTGTAACAGAATAAACATTGAACAATCATTTCCAGTTCCTCAGACCTGCCACCTGGGACAATGAGATAGGAAAATGGTCACTTACTAAAATATCTTACCATAAGCACATACAAAATTAGACATAAACATCATCAGTGAACCTCAACTGTTGCCCTGTTTTTTTTCTGTCTTTTTTTTTTCTGTCTTTTCAGGTGCTTACTGTGCTTTTAGAAGTCTTTAAATCAAGTTCACTTATCCAATGAACTCTCCTTTTTGCTGTGCAGTACTGTGCTTGCATCATGTATATAGTCTGAATAGGTTCATTTTTCTCAAGGCATAAACATCTTATCTCTCACATTCTAGTATTTCCAGAATTAAGCTAGCATTCTGTTACCAACAGAATTACAGTGCCTTTCAATTCAAATTTAATTAAGTGAAATATCAACAGAAGCCATACTGAGAGAATTCAGGCAGGAATGTCTCAGAAATGTGACACAGAGTCAATTTCCTACCTAAAGCATTAAAAGTTGCAATGTGTTCCCACATGTTTTCTGGCTGGTCAGGGTGGGGCTGCCAAAGAAGAGCATCAACATCGTGCCTCAGGCAGAAGCAAGGCATTTCTCTGGGATCCACAACAGCTGAGAAAAGATACTGGTTGCTTCCAAGATTAATCTGAAAACAGAAAGAAATACAAAATACTGATACGAAGCACGAATAGCGGATTCTGTCACGTGCTGCCACAGTTGGATGTTTAACAGATTAATGTTTGTTAGTTGATAAAATGTTTGAATACATTATGATGATGTGTTCAAACTGATCTCAGTACACAACAGGTGGCTAACACATTTCAAACACGTGCAATGTAGTTTCTTGGGATAATATTTAGGGAAGGATTATGCCCATTACACGAGCAGAGGAATAAATGCTTTTGTATAGAAATGATTTTCTAGGATGGAGGATCCTAATCTACAACGCCTGATGTTAGGAAAAGATTCTCTCTACTTAAAAAATTACAGATGCTTTTCTGCCATGCCAATAGGGAAGGAAATACTGTCCTTATGCAAAAATAAAAGTTGGTGAGCACTGGAGTAAGGATTAGTTAGAATACTAAAATGATGAAACGTCAACAGTTTTGTATTTTCTCACAATGAAGTAATTACTAAGTTCCAGACTAGCACTCTCTTCATCAAGTGTCTAGATGACCAAAACCATTCAACAACCACTTCTATACACCAGGAATGATCATAATAAAAGTGAGACAGGCATATCCTGCCAATCCCAAATACCTTCAAAATAAATAAAAACTTCTATCAGTGAACGATCAAGGAAACAAAAGTTCCTTCTCTGTGACACTGATGACCTTTATAGTCAACTGCTTTCCAAAAAGCAGGTTTGGGAGACCCCATGTTCAGCCTGAATACCATGATATTCTGCCTTCCCAGCCTACAATTCAAAACCTCTTACATGTACAGATGCAAATTATTAAAAAACAACAACAAAAAAAAACCTCTTGTATTTATTATTAATGTTATTAATTAATAAAAATAATTTTCCTTCCAAGCATGTAGAAATTTTGGAATTTGCTATCATAAAAGAGTAAAACTAGTTTTGAAAGATACTGAGCTTGCTGCAATAACTGGTTTTGTAAGTGAAAATAAAAGGTCTACTACAATGTGCTAGTGTTGAACTTTATATATTCTCATACATAATAAAATAGCAAGCACATATCTTTTTGAGATCTAGAAATGGATGAACACTACCTAAACAGACAGTAAACCACAATCTGAAAAATATATCCTCAAGACTTTTTCTAGAGCTTTACTAAGGAAATGGGAAATTAGGATTCAGGATCTTACTCTGTAAACATGATGTGTTCTGCAGAACAAAGGTTGTTCTAAATGTGCTTTGAATGACACAAAGTAGTGATGAGGTAGAACACCAACATTTATTACATGCCTAGTAGAGGTATCTTGAAAAAAAAAAGTATAATAATAATAATAATAATAATAAAGACAACCACAATCTGTGATGCTCTCAGATGCTTATTTTGTTTGTTCCTTTAGGGAATAAACCAGATTAAGTTCTAACTTACTGATAGTGGGGGACATTGCTCAAAATCTAGATTAAGCATTTTGCTCACTGCTATTTCCAATGTGACTGACGAACAGTGATCACACAAAAAATGGATCTATGCTTTCTTTTTGTAGTAAAAAAGGTGCAGCTTCCTACCAGGCTATCTGAAAAGTTAGTGAAAAAAATAAAAGCTATGGAACCTACAAAAAATTTATGTCCCTGAAGAAGACTCCATTCATGTCATTATTCTGACATACTTTTGCTTTGTCAATTGACACTTTGAGTGAAAGTGTGCCTATGTAGATATATCTATAGAGATATACACAGATTTAAATGCATATATACACACACATACACATACATATGTAAAAACGAGGTAAGAGCAGCCTTACTTTTACATCAAAGTGCTACTGAAGGACACATGGGTAGATAATTTTTTATTGTTACTGTGATTTTATGTTATGGAAGAAATGTATGTGGTTTCAAGGACTTGCACAGATTTTTGTTCTGATAACAGAATTTAATGTTCATATCAGAAAAAGAATATTTAAAAATATTTCTGTAATAATCTACAGTACTTACTACATGAGTGACCTGTAGGGTATCACCATCAAATCTACATAAAGTTGCACTGTCTTCAAGAAAAGCATCACATTCTTCTAATTCTTGTGCATTACAAGGTGGGTTTTCCTTTTCGGGGTTTGGATTCTGAAACAGAAAGACGATGAAAACTCTGAAAAACTGAGCTTTATATACAGCTGTATATGTATCAATCCCTTTCTAAAACAAAAACAATCCATGGAATTATTTCCATGAGAATCATTTGCATATCCCTTTATACTTAAAGATCAAATTATTATGTACTTAACCAAAATGAAAGCCACCATTTCTGTTGTGGAAGATAGCATGGGTGGCAGGTACAACAAAACGTATTTCAGTTTAAGGAAAGGAACATACACCAGTAAAATATGGACAATATTTCTCCCCCGTAAGTAGCAAGAGTATATGATCCTGAAAACAACCTAAGTAGGTAAATTTACATCACTGTAAAATTCTTTCAGATTGCTACTGAAAATGCTGTAAAAAAAATTGGATTGATTTATTGTCTAAGTAGCCCTAATTACCCTCATCATGATAAGTATTGCACAAGAACTGAAAACTTGTGACAAAAAAATCCCCTTATCCTCAGTATGAGTTGCAAAAGCAAAGACATTTGAAGTTCCCAATGAAAATATGTTTACATGTGCTACAGTATCTTGCCCATGAACAGCGGGGGAGAGAGGAGTGAAATCAATTTTAAGCACTAACCACAATTTATTGTAGTATAACTTTTTTCAGCCCTCTTCAAAAAAGCAGTAACCCACAACTAATATATTAAGATCCACAGGGAGTCATATTTCACAAGTTTTAGATGATACCACTTTCTAATCAAACCAAAAGGTGAAGTAGCAAGCAAACAGTACTTTAAAATTACATTTCAAGTAAAAACTCCCTGTATAACAATGCCAGAAAGTTTGTGAGTCATGATTATTTTAAAAGGCAAGCCTAGGAAACCATTTCATTAACACTCACAGTCAATATAAGCCAAGTACAGCAACCCTAAAAAGACAGCATACAGTTGTTGCTAACCTACTGATAAACAAGGAATGGACATACTTAAAATTTACTTCAATTAACTGCTTTAAAATTGGCCCATCATGGGAACAAAATCTGTTTTTTGAATTAATCAGACTTGTTTTGTTGCACAGACACTATCATGTAAGCTAAATTCAGTCCCAGACGAAAACACTACAGTTCTAAACATGTTCAGAACTCTAGTGCCATTAGTTTGTTACCAATTTCAGATAACAATGAATCTGGTGTTAGGATTCTGAATAGTAAATGAACTGAAGGTCTGTCAATGATGTGCGAATTAGGGTATCAAGAAAAGACAACATACAAATGTGCAAGAATTTTAAATATTTTATTTTTCAACTTCTTACCATTTCTTCGGAGGTCAGATGCATCAGACATTCACTCATTTCAGTGTCCATAATGAGTTCCCCATTTGTGTCACCAATTATTAGCTCTGGCCACCGGAGTCCCTCATTTTTCTTAATTAGAGAAATTTCCAAGCTAAAATGCAAATAGAAGACAACGAGCAGTAGATGAACACACTGCATCCTTTTTTCAGATGACAGTCAGAAAGCTCTGAATATAGATTTGAGAGCTTCTCCTCTCCAAACTGATAATGTAAACCTCGTAACAGAAAACACTAGGAAGCAACTTATAAAATGAACTATTCTAATGGAAAATATCCCAAAATATCCCAAAGAAAATCAGATGAAAGACAAGTGATTTCTAAAAGTGTAATAATGAATAACATGTATTCATGGACGTGCCCTCAGAGTTTTCAATTCAAATGTGGTTTCCTCTGAAGTAGTTTTGTTAGTTTTTAAATACTGCAGGAGATCACCTATAAGTAAATCAATTCAGAGAGAGAAAATTTCACTGCAGAAGTTTATTTGAAACCTAACAGGTACTAAATGCCACCCCTCAAGCGCACACTACTTTTGTATAATGTGTAGAACAAAAATATTTGTATTTTATAAGCCTCAAAAATAGTACAACTGTTACCTACACTGTCTACATAAAATTCTACATAAAAATGTACAATTACTTTAACTTGTGAGGAAAAAAAAAAAACACTTAAGAACTTGGTATAAGGAATAAATAAGTACATAAGTAAATAATGAAAAGAGCCCGATGTGTCAGCAGTGTAATTCTATTTAATTACACATGGGTAGAACAACAAATACAGTTTCAATAGACATGCTTTTTAGACACGCCTACAAGGTCTAGAACATCAGTTGTTTACCCGACACAACAAGAAAACTTTCTAAGTTACTAAGTACTGCATCAGAGTAAGAAGTATTTGGTGACCTCTGAATTATCTTAATTTTATAACTGAAACCACTACATTGGTTATCAGAAATACAATTATTTTATAGAAGATAATTTGGAGCAAGTTTTTTTAATCAAAAAATTTAAAGTGGTATTGCAGTGTCACTATTAAAAATCAAATGCTACTTATAACATTCAAATGCATAAATACTATTTCATATTAAAACAGACACCTGAGAGTCACGCAGTATTAACCACTTGATAATTACCTCAAACTTGAATCATTTAGCTATTTGTCTAATGATCAACTACTATGCACTCACATTTCAGTATACAGCATTAGCGTAATCTGCATACAAATATTAGTCTTTTAGTTATTCTCCAGAGGAATTACATAAACTTTCATTAGCTAACTTTTGGGAAACAGCAAAGATTTTTATGAAAGAAAACTCAAGGAAAACACACTTATCAAATTAAATTAAAAAAAAAAAAAAACAAACAACAAACTTTAACTGGCAATGTCTTGCCAGTAGTTTTCAATTTCAATTGTAGTTTTCCTACTACAATCAATTCTCACAAAGTACAGGCTTCAATGTACTTCACATACTACACATGCAAGTCCACACAATGTATCAAGATTAACGTCAAGCTTGCCCAAACACCTCAAAGTCATTATTATTCCTAGCATATCTTCTTTCATTTAGTATTTTAAAGCATTATAATGGCAAGAATTCAGTCTTGCCAAACATTAGTCCTTTATTTTTACATCATCAGGTCTGGGAACCTTACTTCCGAAACTGTTCCAGAGAAAAAACTTCATTTTACCTTCATTAAAGGAAAAAAAACTCTTTTCTTCGAAACAACTTTCTTCTTTTTTTTTTTTCACCTGATGATACCATACATGGAAATTACTCTTTAAGAAACCATTAAACCAAACATGCTTGTTTCAATGCATAGTGGCTCATTACTTTATCCTAAGAGCAAAAGTAGTAAATGTTCAAATATATATGATATACTGTCAGAGTTTGTTACTTTTCTTATACTTGTTGAAGATCCAAGACAAATTCCATCTATTCTATCAAATTTCTTGTTATTAAAAAAAAATAAGTGTCTGTGAAAAACAGGGTGAAAGTCCAGTTAATCAATCCTGAATTGTCATGAGAAAAAAAATAAAAAAAAAAAAGGGAAAAAAATAATCTATTAACCTTACTTTGATACAAAGCTTTTTTTATGTTTGTATACCTTTTTTTTTCCCCTGGACATTTTTAGTACTTCAAAATATTACTAAATTTCCTTACTGAATTTATCACCAAAAGTTTCATGATTTTATGATAAACGGTCTGAGAATCATTTAACAGTTCAACCTTTTCACTTTTGCACTGTGACCAACTAGAAGTGAATGGACAAGATTATTCTCAAAGAGAATAAAAAACCACAGACATGTATGGGTTAAGTTTCAGTACAGCACACCACTAAATACTGTTATAGAAAGGCAACCAAAGGTTTTAAAACATCACATTATCTCTGGTTGCCAATAAGCACAGGCAAAGCATACGAAAATAGTGAAAAGACATGAGCATTGATGTATCCTAACACTGTGAAGAATTCTGCTTCACAGCTCAGTAGTGGAAAACCTTGAATTTCCTGGTCTGACATGAGGATAACTGTCAGTACCGTATACATTTTTTTGTGTGAAAAATAAATTTTTAGCTTGAAAAGGCTGTTCTGTGTCGTTGTAAAAAATAGCTTGTCATATAACCTCATAAGCAAGTAACTGTAAGAAGAGGGAACTACTTTCACAATTAGTTAAAGAAACAGTACTGTAAGACAGAATTGCAGAAGCCAGTGAGCTACTTTCAGCAGAGGAGATACAACCTTGTAAGGAGGAGTTCAGGGTCTAGCATAAATGAGTCCATTCCCAGAGGGCCCAGAAGTCAGATATGATACACACTCTGAAATCAATTCCCAGCAGTAGTAAATCTAAAAACCATATACAGCACCTTTTGTTCTCTTTAATTATCCATGTGCAGCTTTCATGGTCCACAGAAGAATGTAGTTTTCCGTCCATCAAAGGAGGCTGGTCTTTCAGTGTAACACGTATGTTCTCAGGGGAAAAGTGTACTTTTATGTCATCCTTAGTGATGTCTTGAGGAATGTGAATTGTTATTGTCACATCATCTTCAGTCTGCTGCCAGTAATAGAGAGGGTCTACAATTGAAAACGTACAGAAAAACGTCAGCCAGATTAAAAAATGCTGTCCTGGATTCCACAGCATGCAATGCTGCTGGGAGTCAAGGTTGGGGAAGGAAATAAGCTTCTAATCTGAACAATTTACTTAAAATATATTCTGATTATAAAATAGAGAAACTTTTTTTTTTTAAGCAATCAAGTTCATTTTGTGACCCTTGGTTGGAAAATATCTTATATTCGTAACTATACTCAAATATGCTGATGAAGTTATCCAATAGGCATTAAATATTACTCTAAAGTTAATTGGGAAACCTATTGTGAAAGATATTATGGAACGGATAGCCAAAATGTATTTATCGTAGAATCATAAAGGTTGGAATTGACCTCCAAGATCATCTGGTCCAACCATCCCCCTACCACCAACGTCACCCACTAAACCACGTCCCTAAGCACCACATCCAACCTTTCCTTAAACATCCCCAAGGGATGGTAACTCCACCACCTCCCTGGGAAACCCGTCCCAACGCCTGACTGTTCTTTCTGAGGAGAAATGTCTCTTCATTTCCTACCTGAACCTCCCCTGGCACAACTTGAGGCCATTCCCTCTAGTCCTATCACTAGTTATCTGCGAGAAGAGGCCAACCCCCAGCTCCCCACAGCTTCCTTTCAGGTAGTTGTAGAGAGCAATAAGGCTTTCCAAGCCTCCTCTTCTCCAGACTGAACAACCCCAGTCCCCTCAGCCACTCCTCATAGAGCTTGTGTTCCAGGCCCTTCCCCAGCTTTGTAGCCCTTCTCAGGACATGCTCCAGGACATTTAAATGCACTGAAGCATTAATGATCAGTAACTTGGTTAAACAGACACCAGGTGCAGTGGTTACGATAAGCTACTCCATACTCTGAAGTATATGCCGTTCAGAAATGTGAACATTTTCCCCTAATCTACTTTGCTAGAAGTTATACTGACTTCAACAGAAATGGTTTTAAAAGACCAAACAGTCTTCATCTGCCTCAGATGACGCAGATGAAATAAAACTGCCTGCCAAGGGGTAACATTTGACTTTTGCTCCTGGGCCTAGAATCTGCCTCATAGCCATCTGTATTAAACTGCTAGAAAAACTGTACTTCTGTAAGAAATATTTATACAGAGGATGGCAACAAAACTGGTTAAAGAGCTAGAACACGTCCTGTGAGGAGCAGATGAGGACACTAAGTTTGTTAAACTTGGAGAAAAGGAGGTTGAGGGGTGACCTTATTGCTCTCTACACGCTTTCTGAGAAGGACAAGCTGGGAGCGAGGTGTTCTTCTTGTGACAGGACATGCAGGAATGGCTCAAATCTGTGACAGGGTAAGTTCATAAAGGACATCGGAAAAAGCTTGTTACTTAGATGGCAGTTAGACCTTTGGACAAGCTTCTGTACTGGGTTTGCATGGAATGGTTTTGGTAGCAGGGGCTGCAGTTGTGGACTCTGTGGACAGGACCCAGCAGCTGCCCCATGTCAGAGCAGAGCCAGCTCCAGCCGGCTCCAAAAGGGATCTGCTGCTGGCCAGAGCTGAGACAGTGAGCAACGCTGTTTGGGCCTCTGGGAGAGCAGATTTAAGAAAGGGAAAACCGTTGTGCAGCAGCAACTGGGAGAGAGAGGAGTGAGAAGCAGCCCTGCAGCCCCCACAGTCAGTGCAGCAGGAGGTGCTCCAGGCAGGCCACAGCAGTTCCCCTGCGGCCTGTGGAGAGGCCCCTGGTGGAGCAGGCTGTCCCCCTGCAGCCCATGGGTCCCATATGGAGCAGATCTCCACGCTGCAGCCCCCCCATGGGTAGAGGAGCCCCCGGTGGAGCAGGTGGATGTGGCCTGGAGGAGGCTGCGGCCCATGGAGAGCCCCCGCAGGAGCAGGCCCCGGGCCGGAGCCGCAGCCTGTGGAGAGGAGCCCACGCAGGAGCAGAGGGGCTGGGGGCAGCTGCCGCCCACCCGTGGGGGACCCGTGCTGGAGCAGTTTGCTCCTGGGGGATGGATGGACCCTGTGGGACGGAGCCGTGTGGAAGCAGTGCTTGAAGAGCTGCTGCCTGTGGGCAGCCCCCGCAGGCTCAGTTCAGGAAGGACGGCATCCCGTGGGAGGGACCCCATGGGGAGCAGGGGCAGAGAGGAACCGTGAAGGAGCGGCAGAGATGAAGTGTTAGGGTTTGACCACAGCCCCCATTTCCCTGTCCTGCTCATTAGGAGGACACAGAAGAGGGCAGATGGGGGGGGGAAGCTGTTTTTGTTTTCCTTTTAGTTTCTCACTAGTCTAGTCTGCTAGTGACAAGCAATAATTTATTTTAATCTCCCTATACTGAGTCTGTTTTGCCCGTGACAATAATTGTTGAATGATCTCCCTGTCCCTTGAGCCCTTTCCATCGTATTTTCTCCCCTTTTTCCTTTGAGGAAGAGTGAGAGAACAGTTGTGGCGGAGTTTGGTTGCCCAGCAGGGTAAAACCACCACAGCTTCCTAGAGGATGTTGATGGCCCACGTCTGTCAGTGTTTAGGAGGCATTTGGATAATGCTCTACTATACTTTCTAGCTTTGCGTCGGCCCCGGGGGTAGTCTTGACAGTTGGACTTGATCTTTGTAGGTCCCTTCCAACTGAAGCTATGTTATTCTAAAACTAGAGAATATAAATCTACAAAATTCTAAAGGCTATGACAGCATGACTGGGTAGCACACAGCTGGTCACAGAAAACATAACCACAGATGTATTCATTTTCTTTTACATGTTACCTTCCTAGTTAGAGGGAAAGCAAAGCAGGGACTGGCTCATTCTCTGGAATGTTTTGGAAGCTCTCAAGGTGAGATAGTACAAGATTTAGTTGATCATCTCAGCAACTGTAACTCTGGAAGGACTCTTACAATGTTGCCTGGTACCATGAGTTTCCTGTTTGCTACAGGATCAGTCACAGATGCTACAAATACACTTCCCAAGAACTATTATTATATGAGATGCAGCAGCCATCAAAATTCTAAATTGTGACACTGACTGTATCTGATATTAAAGCTCTAATTTGTAAGATAACAGAATGAGACCAAAAAATACCTTTTGCCCTTCTTTTCTACACTATCTTCTAGACTACCTTATTAGTTGTCGAGTATGTATGGAACAGAATCTGAAAGGACAAAGAAAAAGCCAAAATACCAATAAGCAACATAACCACCTTAATGTTTCCTCATGTATTGTTGTAATCTCATATAAAAATTAGTGTATTACTGCCAGCACATCTTGTTTCGCAATTTGGTATCTGCTATGCCTGCAATTTCATATAGCCATGCAACCAAAATTATAGCCCAGGTTAGGCTAATAGATTTCTGCACTGCTGAAAAAATTGTGCTAATATCATTCAGTTAAGATAAGTTCATTAGCCTCTCTCTCATATTCAGAAGCAAAAATCAAATCTTAAATAACACAATATAGCTACATAAATATACATATTGTGAACTCTGTGACATTTCGGATTAATACTTAGTAGGGGTTCATATACTTCATTTTACTTTGATCTCCTAGAAGAAAAGTATGAGTGTATTTTGATGAAGTTGATTCTTTTTTCTCTAAACTACTTTCTTACTGGAGTCTTTTCCTAGATTCTCATTCTTAAACAAAACAAAACAAAAAAAAAATTTTTTTGTTGTTTGAAAGGCAGGAGTGATTTCCATATCAGAGAGATGAACAACTGTTTGGGTGCCACGCTTCATTCTCTCACCTAAGGCTAGCTTCTGGATTCAAATTCGAACACTTCAGCTAGATGCCTGCATTTAGGCAACTCAACTATTGTCTTAACTCAACCATTAGCAAATAACGAGTACAGTTCTGTTTGCAGAATATTCTTTTCCTTTAGACAAGGAAATTCTTTAAGTGCTTCCTATCCAAAAAGACTTCTCATATAGGTTTATACCCAACACGACTTCCTAGGAAGAAAACAAATACGTTAAAAAAAGCCTATCTGTCTTTACAAAAAAAATCTGAAAGGCAGATATTAAAGACAAACATTTACTGCTGGACTTTCCAAACAGATTCTAAACTGACAAGCTCTTTTCTTTGACAAAACAAAGAGCAGTCTGTCATAACCTGACAGTTAAGTTTTACCTTTCTTTTCGTTTGCTGTTTTTGCATCATCATTTTCTACCAACTTTTCTTCTTGTTGTTGTATAGATTTGAATGGTTTGTAGGAAAGAATCATTAGACCATCCCCACTTGGCTCTATTGCTGCATAATGGGGGACTGATTTGCCTTGTAAAACTCTCTTTCTGCAGATTTCATATTGATGATCACCTGTAAAATGAAGAAAAAAAAATCTGAGCAGTACTATTTTTCTACAGCACAAAATCTCATTCAAGAACCTCATTACACCTAAAAATATTACATAATTCTACTGGTTAAATAACAGTACTATGGATTCAAAGGAAATTTCTCTTTTGTTTTTCAATGATTTTATTACACCTATAGATCCTAAAATTAATCTAACATTGCTCTTTTTTCCTTATGATGACTTCTTTGATCACAGCTAGCCTGGCAACTCAGAAAACCACTCTCAGTCTCTGCACAAATAAATCTTCTAAACATTTTTGAGGTGCTAAAAAAATTTGAGTAACAACAAAATATCTTGTGATGGAAAATGCCTACCTTCCCTTTTGATGACCAGTGTTTTACACGAGTTGAGGAGGTCCTAATTGTTAACTACTGGCACCAAGGACCACACCATTCCCTACTGTGCTCCCAAACACATGAGTAATGATGACTTAAAACACAGGTAAAGCAATACATTCTAGTGTTCTTCCTCCATTTAAATTTACCTGGATTCAGATGCCTAAGTATTTGATTGACTTCTGAATAATAATAGATAGTGCAAGCGGATTTTTAGGAATTAACCAATAACTTCATAAAATTCTCACAGGTGCTAAAATTATCCTCAAGAATTGTTTGATTTTTCACATCTATGCTTCAACTCTTCATTATAAGAAATTGTTGTACTTGAAACTTTACTTGACACAAACCAACAACAGCAAAAAAAAAAAAAAAGGAACTCATTAGCAGAGACATTAGACAAGACCACATCATGAAGGTAAAAATCATCTGTACCACTCCAGTCTAATGTGTTCCTGGTTGACATCAGTGCTACATTTAGGGAAACATCACAGTCACAGAATACAAAGAATAACAGATAACGGGACCCAAATTAGATCTGGTTTAACTAGTTATCGTACTTGTACTTGCTAAAAGTAAGTTCAGAAGTGGAATAAAGAACAATAACCAGACTACAATGTAATTCTGGTACTTGGGGGTGTTAATTAAAGCCCCCCTCCCTCCTTTTTTGAGTGTGGGCAGAGGGGTATTAATGAACTAGACATAGCCATTTTAAACAGAAGCACTCAGAGACCTATGCATTCAGAAAACCCCAGGCAACTAGAGAGCATCCTTAAACACATCACCTCAGACTATACAGATGACAAATAGGAGTGCTGTACTGGGAAGTTAATCACTCATACAACATTATGAGAAGTACACCAGATATTTATTAGAAATAGATATCTTGAACCTTGATTTTACTGGACCAAGCTAAAGGAACTTCATTTCATAATGTCACAAAGTAAAGTTCTTAGCTTGTTTTCTAATCACTTTAGCCACACATGTATAAGTCTACTTCTTCCTCTCTTCCAAACATTTGTCATAATTAAGGTCTAAAACTGAGACCTTGATCTTAAAACTAAAGAAAATTACCTATGTAAAATCTGAGTAGAGCTTCTGTGGGAAGGAAATATCAAACGGAAGAAAAATAAACTTCTAAAACAAAGAATGAAAGCATGATAGCTGTTTTTTGGTTTGTTTTTAGTTTTTGTTTGTTTTACTTCTCCTTAACCACTAGTAACGTAAATGTAAAACACTTACCCTCTTTGCTCATCTCTGCAATTGTAACCCATTCCAAGGTAACATGAAATCCACTTCCTTTTGTGTCCAATTCATCTTTTTCTACCCTAAGCAGCAGCACAGCTACTGAATGAGTACCAGATTTTACAAATGAAACACTGTGTGCTACAATAAATGGACTGCCTAGTTCTTCATTAAACACAATCTAGAAGACACAATATTGGCAAAAAGTCAGTCAGTTAAAACCCAGCCTCAGAAAGCAGCAAAAGGCTTCATCGAACATCAGTTAATTTTTGCTTGCCACAAACTGCTTTAACTTTCAGTTAGCCCTGAAGCGGTCAGGCAGTTGGACTAGATGATCCCTAAAGGTCCCTTCCAACTGAACTATTCTATTCTGTTCTATTTCTCTTCATTCTAGCTCTTCCTTCTTTGGCTATCAATAAACTGTTCTGAAATGTTTTTTGTTATTGTTGTTTCTATTACAGAATCACTGAAATGGCCCATTAGACAAAGCACAAAGATCTACAAAAGTGTCTATATCGCACCTGTTTAGTACTAAAGTAAATAAGCATACAGAACAGGATCCATAAGCACGGCATACCAACTGGGGAAGAAAGTCTCACACAAGAAATGCAGGCATTTCACCAATACCCTCACTGCTCTCCTAGGCAAACCAATATCCCAAAAATCATTGTGGACCTTAGCATATGCAAACAAGAAGATAAAAGATCCAGTACACTGCTATCAGTGTTTCATCATCGATCAAAGCTGAGAGAGGGGGTTCTCTTTATTTGATTACTAAAAGAGATTTACTTCTTATTCGCTAATAGGAATATTCTCTAATAGGAATAAGAAACAGAGAACCTACCATTAAATGAAGTACAATATTCACATTTATTAGGAGTTTAAGTCAGAACTTTCTGACTTTTTATTTATAGGGTTTGGCAAAGTCCATCTATATTTTTATGTGACTAGGCAGGATCACTGTAATCATGAAATAAGGTCATACCGAAGGCCTGTGTATCTTGAACCTTGAGACATTTAGAAGTAGCTACCTACAGCAAGAAGTTTTAATTCTAGAGACTATGTGTTTCAGCTTTTTTTCTTAAAAGGTGCTTATTCAGCATAAATCACAAGAAGCTGAAAAACAAAATAAATCCAAAGAGCAAATGAGAAATAAAACATCCTTTATTTTCTAGAACATTAATACATTAAAATCAAAGTCACAGACACAGAGTGGTTGATGTTGGAAGAGACCTCTAAAGATCATCTAGTCCAACTGCCCTGCTCCAGGAGGATCACCTAAACATGCCCAGCCCTCTCAGCCTTTTCTCACAAAAGAGATGCTCCAGTCCTCCGATCATCTTTGCAGCCCTACACTGGACTCACTCCAGGAGCTCCAGGTCTCTCCTGTAATGGGGAGCCCAGACCTGGACATTGCACTGCGGGTAAGATCTCACCAGGGCTGAGTAGAGCGGCAGGATCACCTCCTTTGACCTGCTGGAAAACCTGCTGGAAATGCTCTCCCTAATGCACGCCAGGATCCCATTGGCCTTCTTGGCCACAAGGGCACACTGCTGGCTCATGGTCAGCTTGTTGTCCACCAGGACCCCCATGTTCCCTTTCCACAGAGCTGCTCTCCAGCAGGTGACCACTCAGCCTGTACTGGTGTTTGGGGTTATTCCTCCCTAGGTGCAGGACCCTGCATTTGCCCTTGTTCAACTTCATGAGATTCCTCTCAGCCCAACTCTCCAGCCTGTCCAGATCTCTCTGAATGACAGCACAGCTTTCTGGTGGATCAGCCACTCCTCCCCATTTTGTGTCACCTGCAGACTTGCTGAGAGTGCGCCCTGCTCTGTCCCTTCAACCAGGTCACTGATGAGTAAGTTGAACAAGACTGGGCCCAGTATTGACCCCGAGGGACACGACTAGCTAAAGGCTTCCAAACAGACTGCGCCACTGATCACAGCCCTCTGAGCTCTGCCATTCAGCCAGCCATGGAGAATAAAGGAAAATGAATTTAAGCTGCAGTGGATAAATGAGCATAGGCTCAATCTAGCTGTTACTGAAACCTGATAATGTTTAAGGATTTGTGAGGTTGGGATGTTAAAGTCACTGTAAACCACTGGGTGTTCTAAACACTCAAAAGGTGAATTTAAATGGTGACAAACAGCATAGAAATTTGATTTTTTAGTGCAACACTGATGCAACTTATTTATGGATCAATATTCTCACACTCAGAGAAGACAAACTAATGAGCTCACAGCAGCTGAGGTAGAAAAGTAACAACTACATTCGTGGCGTCCAAGCAAGATAACTGATACAAGTATTAGTATTGTAACACCACATTGATGTGGATACAAAAAATGCACCTTTTATCAAGGCTTCTTAAAATAATCCATTTTGTAAACTATTTCATCATGAGAAACACAAAAACAAACTTCAGTTACAACCAACAATTTAAAGTAAAAAATATTAAACACCAATATTTGCCAGAGCTAAGTGCACAATGTGAAGTTTTTCTCTACCAGAGATGTGGAAACATTACTGTTTGCACTGTATCTACTCTGCAGGTAACCCTCAGGGCTACTTATCAAAGCTTTTTAATGAGCAATTTTGTATAAGTTTTATTCTAGTCTCCATGGACACACTTTTATGATGGGGCAAATTAAATGGTGAATATTTCAAGCAGAATTACATCAGCACAAGCAATTCAGAAGTCTCTTAACTTAAAAACAAAAGCAGCTATTAGCTTGACTGATGGCAATTTTGGACTTAAAAAAATATTTATTATTCCACAGGTCAGTTGAAAAAACAAACAATAAATGATGGTGGGGAAAAAAAACTAGGTGGATCCATATGAATTGCAAAGGGGAAATGGTTCTTGGAAGTTCAGCTTGACAAGCGCTAAGCCACCCATTTAGAAACACTCACTTTTATTTAGGCAGATTCCTTTTCAGTCAAGAAGCTGTTCCCATTCAACCATTTTAATTTTATAAATATTTTGCATATAAAGAAATCAGTAAAATGATTTTTATGCTTGGACACAACCATTTATCAACAGTATAGAGTTCAGATTTAAAGATTAATTTTTAATAATTATAAGAAAGGCAAGAATAAGAATTATTTTGTATATGTAAAATTCATAAAATGTTACTGTACAACAGTGTTACCACATTGTTACCATATTGTACCACAATGTTAACAAAGGCAAGTGCAGGGTCCTGCACCTGGGACAGGGCAACCCTGGCTTTACATACAGACTGGGCGGTGAGACGCTGGAGAGCAGCCCCCACAGAGATCTGGGGGTTGTGGTTGACTGCAAGTTGAACGTGAGCCAGCAGTGTGCCCTGGCAGCCAGGAGGACCAACCGTATCCAGGGATGCATCAAGTGCAGTATTGCTAGTTGGTCGAGGGAGGTGATTGTCCCACTCTGCTCTGCGCTGGTGCGGCCTCACCTCGAGCACTGTGTGCAGTTCTGGGCACCACAGTACAAAAAGGACATTAAACTGTTGGAGAGTGTCCAGAGGAGGGCGACAAAGTTGGTGAAGGGCCTAGAGGGGAAGACTTAAGAGCTGAGGTCACTGGGCCTGTTCAGTCTGGAGAAGAGGAGGCTGAGGGGGGACCTCATCACAGTCTACAACTTCCTCGCGAGGGGGAATGAAGAGGCAGGCGACCTATTCTCTGTAATCACCAGAGATAGGACCCGCGGGAATGGTGTTAAGCTGAGGCAGGGGAAGTTTAGGCTGGACATCAGGAAGAGGTTCTTCACCAAAAGGGAGGTTGCACAATGGAACAGACTCCCCAGAGACGGAGTCACTGCACCAAGCCTGTCTGAATTTAAAAAGCAATTGGACTGTGCACTTAGTCACATGGTCTAAACTTTTGGGTAGACCTGTGCAGTGCCAGAAGTTGGACTTGATAATCCTTATGGGTCCCTTCCAACTCGGGATATTCTATGATTCTGTAAGACTTACCTCCCACTTTTCTGATGCACTGTCTCCACGCTTGCCGGTTTTGATTAAATAGAGTCTTCCTGTTCCATCAGAAAGGGTAACCCACGTGGAAGATGGGAAGTATATAGAGGCACAAAGGCGATTATCACAAGCTGTCAAGTCTGCAGGGAGCCTGAAAACTTCTCTTGGCTTTTGTAGAGAAGTGTCCTGTAAGCAAAGTCATGGATCAAGACTTTAGGAAGTACTGATCAATTCAAGTAAGTATTACAGACAAATTAAGAATCACAAATCTCAATGGCAATTCCCCTGTTTGTTGCAGTTGAGCATATTCCAAAAATAAGTGGGTAGCAAGAATCACTTCCACATACATGGAAAAGGTAAGGGAATTTCAGTACAGATTGAGTTTGTTTACTGATAACAGAAGTGTCTTGTAATTGGTATTTCAGCATTCCATTTTTTTCTTCGATTTCATAGCACTAGTTATGTTTTGCATTAAAAAAAGATTTTCACTTCTTTTCCCCAAGCATTCCTGTATAATCAAACATTTACCTCAAATAATTCCAGCCTCAATAAAATCCTCAAGACTGTATGTGAAATGAAAACCAGAGAATTGTTCACTCGCACTCACTCCTAATTAAAACAAATTTTACCCCACTCTTACTCAACTGGCACATTCGAGTTGATAAAACATTTCTCAGCTTTCCTAGAATGGTTAGCTCACTCGGAAAATTAGAGAAGTAATGATTGTGATCAGTTAGAAAAAAAAAAAAAAATAAACAACTGTATTCACGTCATATTTGCAAATAACTTTTCTATCACATTATGATTACACAGTGCATCAGGATAGATACATTTATTTAGCATACCATGTCAGCGGCACACTGTAACTTTATTTTTTTCTTTTATGCCAATATTGAAAACCTGGGAAGAGAACCAACTACCTACCTATTATGTGCCATACCAAACGCACCTTCTGTTACAGTAAGTGTGAGAAAGGGACTAAGAAACAGCAGTGGAAAAACATCAGATTAAAACAGCGTCTCGTTACAGACTCTGGAATTTCAGCCACAAAACGTTCTAAGCATCTGCTGTCCCTCTGCCTTCACTTAAGCAATGGGCAGCACACAACAGAGGCAGGGAGAAGATCATGCATGTACATGTGTACTTCTAGCAAAAGAAACCCACTCCTTCTTGTACATGAAATAAGGCAATGAAAAATACAAAGCAACATCTTTACAATAGTTCTTTGCACTTGTGCGTGTATATCACAGAATCACAGAAAGTACACATTTGCAGTACAAGCATGACATGGCCTCATTTTTTGATAATACTGTATTTAAGGCAATCTTGAATCCTTCGTATTTTTCCAGATGTTATTAAAATCAGATGTGTATTTAGAACATGTTCAAAAGCAGGCAAGATAAATTGGATTTGGGTAAGTACCACTTTAATAAGCAAGAGCAAAAAAGAGCAGATGACAAACAGACAGCCTGCTTGCCTTCTGCGCCTACTTGAATTCATATCAGAGATTACAGTTGCACTACAAGAAGGCACAAGGGCAATTACGAAACCTGCAATGGAAAAGATGCAAATTAGATTTTTAATTACCAGAAGCATTCAGGTTCACTCTCTAGATTCAGTTGCATCACAATACTCCTTCAACTATTCGACTAATGTAGAAGACATTCAGGAGGAGAGGATGAAAATTAAAAACAAACAAACAAACAAAAGCTACCCCAAAACACTAGGAACAAAGCCTCATCTTTTCCTCAGTTTCTTAAAGGCTTTACTGAAAGGCAGTATTTCCTGCAATAGAGGTGTTCCACTGTAAGTAACAAGTTGTATGAGTACTGTGTCTAGGAAAAAGAAACTAAATCACAGACAGAAAAAGCATCAGCCCTGGAATAGTGATTTTCATGGCTGTACTATGTAACACTACAGAGGACCATGCTTTTGTCAGCCTTCAAGCGAATCATGACAATAAGCTTCAAATAGTTCTGGATGCAATTCTGTTTTTAAAAACTATCAGCTATCAGCCATTTAATTCTCTAAAGCCCACGTTAGGTTATCAGCACTGAGGAAGGATGTCAGGACTCAATATATCCGGAAAATTAAAAAAATATGTATCTTTAAATCACAAAGCCTCCCCTCAGAAGTCAAGAAAGGAAATGCTTTTATAATATTCTTCATTTGCTGTTCAGCAATTTAAATTTAGGAATGTATTAGATTCCCTGCTTCAGAAGTATGAGGGGATGCTGAGATACTAGTCAGACGTACTCACTGGAATTAGGTTTAAACATCAACAGACAGTTCCTTTAAGAAAGAATTATAAAATACAAGCTAAAAAATTCCCTCTACTCTTCCTGACACCTCCCCACCCAGGCTCCACTTAAGTGAGCATATGCCAGCTCATACAGTCATGCAGTGAAATTGTACGTAGGTTTTTCAGCATGCCTGTAAGATTTAAATTCTGTAAGTTTTATGAAGAAGTCACATTGTTACCAACAATTCCCATAATGTAAAAATAAACAATATTGCATAAAACATAACAAAAAGAAGTGAAAAAAAAACAGCCACGAGTTATATTGTGATTCTCCCCCTCTAGTCTGCTCTTGTGAGACCCCACCTGGCGTGTTGCGTTCAGCTCTGAAGCCCCCAGCACAAAAAGTACATGGACCTGTTGGAGTCAGTCCAGAGGAGGCCATGAAGATGAATAAGGGGCTGGAGCACCTCTCCTACAGGCTGAGGGAGTTGGGGCTGTTCAGCCTGGAGAAGAGAAGGCTCCAGGCAGACCTTTTAGTGGCCTTCCAGTGCCTAAAGGGGCCTACAGGAAAGCTGCAGAGGGACTCTTGGTCAGGGGGGTATAGTGATAGGGCAAGGGGGGATCGCTTTAAAATAAAAGAAGGTAGGTTTAGATTAGATGTTAGGAGGAAATTCTTCGCTCAAAGGGTGATGATGCCCTGGCACAGGCTGCCCAGAGAAGCTGTGAATGCCCCATCCCTGGAGGTGCTCAAGGCCAGGCTGGATGGGGCTTTGGGCAACCTGGGCTGGTGGGAGGTGTCCCTGCTCATGGCAGGGGGCTGGAACAGGGTGGGCTTTAAGGTACCCTCCAACCCAAATCATTCTGTGATTAATGGTGCCATTAGGAGTTACTGTTGCTATAGCATCTCAATTCCATTCTATTGATATAAAAAGAAAGTTTCCTTTGGAAGAAGAGCTGACAGTCAAGTAAACAACTCCAAACATTTACCTGCTATAGGAGAAAACTCTGAACTATTTTCCAGCTCAATTCCAGTATTACTTTTTAAGTTGTGTGATGTTTGCAAAGTCAGATGCAAAAACAAACAAAAAGCCAACAAAAACAAACCTCCCCAAGGCCGCTAATTCTGTCACTGCACTAGCCATTAGGTCTTTAAATCAAAGCATCGATACTGGCTTACTGAGTGACAGTCTTGATAGCTGCAACAGATGAGTGTTAATGCCAAAAATATATTTCTAGCTGAGTTAGGGTAACAACTTTCTCAACTTGGTATAAATAACATCTGAATACTCATTCATCAACTTACAAAATCTGCTCATGTTCCTCACTTTTTTTTTTCAATTTATGTTTGATTTTGAGCAAGTGACAGTCTTATCTGTACCTCCTGCATTGAGCGATGACATCTTTCTAAACACTTCAGTTGCAGGGATAATTTGTCATCTAAGGGTAAGTGCAACACGCCTCCAAACAAAAACTGAAGTTGCAACAGAAATAGGAATCAGAACTCTAAATAATTACTTGTTAAAAAGCCCACGCGTTCTTTGGGTAAGGATTTAGGATAAGCATGCTAACACGGTGAGTCTTCTGTTAAAGAAAATACCAAAATTCAGTTGAATTGTGGCCTTTGCTAACTTGTAAGCTACGCTTGGCTGTAATGAGATTTATGATATACATTTGACTAATATATGGGCAGGCACATTTGTAATGAGAGACCTTGTTGATGTTTCTGCACACAAGTTCCTCTTTATACATATGCAAATACACAGCCTCTGCAAAACAGCACTTCGCTGCATATTAGGACAAGACAGTGGCAATTTGACAGTCTGCTATAACTAAAACCTACTGTAGTATATTAACAAAATGCCATTTCCTTGAAGACTTCAAGGGACACACCAGTCCAAGGGATTTTTAGCTGCAAGAATATCTATTTAAAGGTATCGCACATATAAATGCAAGTTGTTGCCTGTTGTAAAATCCTTTACCTGGGTTTATCTGCTAAGAATGAAATGCACAGATGCAGCTCCCTCCTAGTAACGGGATGTGCTGGGTTTATACATGCAGGTGTTGGCAGCAGGTGGGGTGGTCTCTGTGAGAAGAGGCCAGGGGTGCCCCATGTCAGGGACAGCGGGTTCCAGCTGGCTGTGTAACAAACCCCCACAGGACACAGCTGAGCCCATCACTCAGGCTGGTGGCACCTCTGGGAAAACATACTTGGGAAGTGGTAAAAAGGTGTTGCACAGTAGCAGTAAGAGAGAGGAGGTGAGAACATTGTGAAACAGCCCTGTAGGTCAGTGAAAAAGGGAGAGGAGGTGCTCCAGGCACCAGAGCACAGATGCCCACACAGCTGGGGGTTGAGACCATGGTGAAGCAGGCTCTCCCCCTGCAGCCCACGAAGCCCATCACCCGATGAGCTTTTCCATCTTTCTTTCTCCCCCTGGCCTGCTGAGAAGTGAGAGGGTAGTGCAGTGGGCACATGGCAGCCAGGCGAGGTTAGCCAACCACAGGGAAAAAAAGCATGAAAAATGAGATTGTGATGGGGCACTGATCACAGGAGGTTTTCCCTGATAAACTTCTTTCTTTTGGATGTTCTGCTGGGAATCCAGATGATTTCCAAATATTTGGAAGAAGTCTCCAATTATTTTATCTCAATGAGAGTCTGCCAAACACACAGACTGCTTGTACATTCTCTGAAAAGTGAAGGAGCTATTTTGCAGCTCCAGTTCTCAGCCCACTGTACTCTGAAAACCTGTATTTCCCAGGTTGTATTTCTACAACCACCATCTCAGGATTTCTCTCAGCTTAGCCTTGACCTTGTCATTCTTCCCCTAGCACCCTGCACAGAACAAGCCACGTTCTCTTAAAAGCCAGGCAGTATCGTGGGTTTTCTTTTGTCCCACAGAATTGCACAAACTCCTTGGTAGCATGACAATGGGTATTTTCCTTTCCAAATGTGAAAATTACATATAGCCAACTACAGCAAAGAAGTAAGCTTAGGCCAGAACACAAAGCAAACTGTTCTGTGGAGTCTAGAGAGAACCACATGAGCAGACTCCACAAACTTAAACAACACAGCAGTATACAGCTACTGTGAATTAACAAGAGGTTAAATATGATCTCCCCCTCTTAATTGATGTAAAGATACCTTCTATTTCACACTCTCACAATCTATTTAATTTTATGTCAACCAATATGATTCCAAAAATCAGATTACAGAAACTGGAAGGGGCTGCCACACCAACATACATGAATCAAACGGGAACAGCTTTATGAAGGAGGGAAGTACTAATGTGATGCATGCTGTATTTTCTAGAATTATATTAAACCCATAGCAGATCTCAACTGACTTGTTATATAAAATTAGCTTTTTTAAACATAAAAAAATCAAACAGCAGCTCTGAATCAATTAGTGCCAGAACATATCTTAGTATGAGAATAGAAGTACCTACATGTTATGACCTTTCTCAACATAAAATGTTAACCAAATAACTGGTGATGAATGAAATATTGTTATTCAAATTAGCTAACAAGTGTCTACAATTATGGACTTTTTACTTCCCTTTCTGCATAGATGATTATTTAAGAAGCTATACTTGGTGAGTCAAAATCGTCACAAAAACAAACAAAACCCTACTTTCTAATGAAAAACTGTAAGCACACCTTTAACAGGGTGCAAGTCATAATCGTCAGAGATACAATTTTACTCTAAATTATACACTCCAAGACATTGTGATAGCTGCAAAGTCACCACCAGTAAGTCTCTTATCCCTTAATAAACAAGTACTACCACTGCACATACCAGAAACCTAGTGTCCATACGTCCCTTCAGAATAAAGAATGGCTTTGCAGTAGCAATTAGTATACCTATGCATCAAAATGCCTCAAAAAAATGGAAAACAACTTAACAACTGTGCAAGAACATCAATATAACAACAAAGAACTGTCCTGTTTTCCAGACTTGGTCTAGCTTACACTCTTTCAAGTTTGCCCAGGGCCACTGGCATCTTTTTGCCTGCAACGAGTGATGCCCAGATCAAGTTATTAGCCTATGCACACTTCTATTTATAAAGGGAGAAAGAAGCTGTGCAATTTAGAATTATATCTACAACGACTGGATTTTCACATTAGTAGACAGACAAACATCAAACAAAATAGAGGAGGAACAGCTGGCAACTGGAAAAGCAGCGTCTGCTCTCTTGTTCAGCTTGTCACCATATGTCTGCCTTCCCCATCACGGAGTACGATGCTGTACGACTGCAATACCAACACAGCGCAGTGCTAGTAAAGTACCTTTAATGAAAGATGTCACAAATTTCACTTAACCCCCTTCATCCTTCCTGGTAAACACCATTCTTGTCTGATCTACCTCTCTATCTGGCAATAGCTTCCCCTCTGATTTTGCATCCAGATCCTCCTTGACAAGTATTTTCTACTTGATTTTTCTACCCCTACCATCTCAAATTCAGTTATTTTAAAAAAAAGTTTGTTCTTACCAGAGTCACTGACAAATTCATAACCCTTCCAGACTGATCAACATAGTAGACATTATCCTGGGACCAGGAGTCAAGGTGAAGGTAATTATACATGCCAAAAGCACGCATGTGGTCAAGGGTATATTGATCATCACGGAGTTTCACTTCTGCTACAGCTGTGAAAAAAGAACAACGTTTTAAAATTGAAAATTTAATAATTTAAAGTTCCGATTAAGAATTTAAAAATAATTTGTCCATCCTTAGCCCACAGCTTTGGTTTATTTGAAGAAAAATACATTATGTATAGTTTAAAATTTCACCATAAATTTGGAAAGCAAGCCATCCACACCAAAGGTTACCACAATCACTCACCGTGATAATGGGTCAACTACCACCACTCAAGGTGTCCCACACTGCCTATACCAACACGTGTTGGATCTCTCCAGTTTGTCAATAATCCTCACAACACGGAAATACCCAAGAAACCACCAAATAAAACTCACTTTTAAGTCTACTTGTAAAGAGGAAAAATCATTCTTGATAAACACATGGTATTACAGTAGAGGAAAACAATCCTGCTCTACTGTAACTCAAAGAAAACAACGAACAACAAAAAAAATCCAACTATGTGAATTTTATAATCTCAAATTCTGAACCAAGCTACCAACACTTGCAAAGCAAAAGATTAAAACAGTACAGAGCAGAATTAGCACATGGTCATTACTGAAAAAAATATGTTCCTAGCACTTCCACTGAGGTTGAAGAAATCTTCAGAAATCTCCAGGATACCACCATCAAAATTACAGTGTAAGTTTTGTCTGAAGGAGGCTGCAAAGAACAGCTGCTCACTAATAATGATGCCTCCTTGAGGACAGGAATTATGCTACTTAAAAGCATCCTTGAGCAACATGTTTCCAACTAGAAACCTCCCCTCAGCTACCAGTAATCTCAGCTGGAATTATCTTTGCAAGACTAACCAAGTTTAACCTAGCTGCAGCTCCTTCCTGCTATCCCACGTCTATACGGAGACTGAACAGCTCTGCTCCCAATGTATCTAAGCGCAGAAAATCTTCAAGTTCTAGCAAAGACATCAGCAAGCGTCTAGCCCATCCTTCCCAAATAGTCTTAGACAGATTGCAACTGCTCAGCCGCCCCCACAATCAGCCCAGGATCCTCCGTTTCCCTGCGGGAAGTTTCTCTCACCCTTCATATGCCAAGAAAAGTCCTTCAGAAAGGAGATGGGAACTCTGTCAGCCCATGATGAAAAGGCTTCAAACCTCCAGCATGGGAAGAGCACCTCAAGGCTAACAAAGTGAACCCATCCCAATAGTTATTCTAGTTTCTACTTCTCCAGTTGCCACACTTTCTTCTCTTTTCAGCTCAAAAAAAGAGTGAAGTAATTGCCAGTGTTTCACTTCTGTCTTTACCAGAGCAAGGACCATTCACAACTCCATCCAGCAGTCCTCACCTTACACTTTTTAAACCAAGATTTCTTACACTTTTCGTTAGCATCTATTTAAAGCCTACTGAAGCAGCAGTTGTTTTTTTCCATAGGCAAGATATCCTGCCTGATTAAAAAAAAAAAAAATCTGGTCACAGAATAGAAAACATTTGTAAAATGATGGTACAATTAGTTTCCTAATCACTGCTGATATTTGCAAACCGACAGCATTAATTCCACTCAGCTCACATCACTATTCACATCCACCACGCTGGAGAGATTTCAGCACCTCTGCAATTCATAGCTTGCTGTTCTACAAAGCACGGCCCTCCACAAAGGGCTGGAATAGCAAAAAAAGGAGTGGGAAGAAAACCTCATAATGGGGAAGATGCTACCCATTCTGATTTCTGCTTTAACTAATTTGAATGTTTCACCATAAATGACACTGTAAAAGAAATTAAAAGGCTGCGTTGTGAAAATGCCTTTTAAAGCCGTTTGGACAATCAAGCTTTATCACAGAGATACATTTCCCAGCACGACAAGAGGTGACGTGAATATTCTGTAAACAAAGACAAAAACAAACCTAACTCAAGACAATTATTTTCAGTGAAACCAAGTAGCTATCACCTACTTTCTATGTAGATCCATTTCCCGATCTTCTGAAATTACGACTCACACACTGAAGCATGTAAAGCGTTTTCAGCACAGAAAAGCTAAAACTGGCTCATTTTGTAAAGAACTTTACAAAAAGTGTTTCTCCGCTTCTCCCCTCTACCCCCTTTAGCACATTGTTATGGGCATAATTTTAACTAAAATATACACAAATGTTGAAAATAGTCCAAATCAAAAGCTTCCTAAACAAATTTATAACTTTCAAAAGAAATTTTGGAACAATGTACCATTGATTAGCTGATTGTGAGGCTGTAAGCTTTGCAAAAGCTGAAAGAAGATGAAGTTTTCCAGCTGCAGTTCTGACAAGCCCTGAATAAAGGCGTCAGTTAAAGGAGATCCAAATCCCTTAAGATGCCTTATGTAATTAATTCTTCATAAATACAAGTCAGAAACTATACAATGTGTGATTTTAAACCAGGAAATCAAGCAAGTGTGTACTGTCCTGTCACGTAACGCTTCAAATACAGTTATCAAATGCTCACAGAATGTACCCTGTGTATACATCCCTGTGCCAAGAAGAAATAATTAGAGCAACTATTCTGGCCTTAATTAATTGAAACTCATTCTGTGATCAAGCGAAACCTGCATACAAATGCCATCTGCTATCACAAACCATGTGCTCAGGCAGTTTATAGATTTTATACTAGGATGAAGTTACATTCGTTCCCTTCTAGGGCCTTCCAAGTTCAACTTTTCTGATGGTCCTTGGAAAAAAATGAGGAGAAAGCCAACAAAGTTGAGTGCAAAAGGAAAGTACAAGATGAAAAAAATAAGAATTAAAAAATAAATAAATAAAAATAAGCAAAATAGAAGCTAATATAAAGGGAAAATAATTATTTCAATCAGATCATCATTTGATTCAGTTACATACGAAAAAGAGCCTTAAGGAACTGGATCAAGAACATGGACTGATTCAATAGCACCAGCCTTTGAGGTCTAATTGCCAAGCAGCAGTTTATGACAGCTATTCCCACAGAATGATACACAGTCTTACTCAAGTTTCTGATAGCCAAATCTGCACTGCTGAAACCCAAGAACATTGATTCAAACTGTCACATCAGTAATGAGAAAGAATGTATAGAATGTATACGTTAAATCTCAGCTTTCAATATTATTATACAACTGCAGTGAGGTGTCACAGTTCAGGTTGGCTTGAAGAAAATTACGCCTCTCATCTAGAACTGTATGTTTCCAACACAATGCTTAAAAAAAAAAAAGTAATTTGACTCAAAATACATCCAAACTAATTAAGCCAAGATTATCACTAATATCTAATTTACCTAAAAGCAGAAGCGCTAACACAAAGCAACTCATAAGAGTCAAAAGCAGCAAGATGTTCCTATCCTAATGGAATCACCTTATAATTATTCCTCTGTACCACAAAATATCTCCTCTGAATAAAAAACACTATCAAGGATATCAACACTATCATACTTTATCTGAATATGCGAGTCTTGCATCTGTCATTAAACACCACAAAGCAAATTTGAAAAAAAAAAAAGTGAAGAAAATGTGTGAAATTCACACTGTTCATTGTTGAATACATCACAATGACTTTAAAATACTGGAAAATCTGTAAAATAATTATACTAACATATCGTTTGGGGCATCAAATACTACATACATGCTTCCATGTCATTCTTTGTTTTGCAGTGCCACCCAGTGGAAGCAATTTAGTATTTCATATACACTTCGTACCGATGGAAAATATTCATTTATTTTCTAGCATCAGTGATCTTTCAGAGATATATCAGAGATCTTTCTAACCCAGCATCAGTTGTTTTTCTTTTAACATTAACAAAACTGTTTTTATTGTTAATGGCAGCATCATTGTGTTGTTGCTGAGTAAAAAGCTTGCTTTGTCTACTGTAGTAAATGTTAATAGTCAGAACACACAAGCTTACTGTTTAACAAGCACACAGCTCGCTGAAAACATGCACGTTTTCATTACAGGTATCATGTCAGGAGGTATTTTCATCAGATCAAATTACTTGCACAGGTATGGAATGTATGTGCTCTACCGCACACTCAAATGAACATAAAAACTGAAGAACCTGCAAAAACTAGCAAGGCACTTGTCAAAGTGTCACTTTGGCAAAACCTTCATTTATAAGCTGACTCGTGCCAGTTGTAAGGACCATTTCCATTAACAGCAGTTCTACAGCAGAACTCACCTGTACGTTATCTTTTTCTTTCTCAACAAAGTAAAGTAAAACATAGGAACAGTCACAGGTCCCTGAGATCTAAACCTAGATCTACAGTTGTAAAAAGCCTGGGGAAGCCATGCCTCGCACTTTCTTAATACTTCCCAAACGTGACTTGCTCTTTTTTCTACACGCAATTTTTCAGTTTTCTAGTATACTACAAAAGGAAATCTCTATAGAAGTTTGAAACCGTTAGTTTCCTTGGCTCCATAAGACACAAGTGCATCTTGCCTTGTAGCATTGCTAAGGGGCAGGTACTTTCCAGTGAAATTCAGTGAATGGGGAACTACTTTTCACTGAAAAGCACAGAACTTCTAGTCTAAGCAGACTGCGACCAGGGCAGTACCTTATTAACACCATTGTTCAAGAATGCAAAAGGCCATTACAAAATTCAGTGCAAGGGTAACACCTGAATAAAAGTTATGGACACAAACTAGGGAGAACAAGGAGAAAAATACACAAAATTTAGGATGAAGAGTTGGGCATTAAAGGCATACCACTGTGTGACTCATTCCTAGCTGAAACATATTACCAGGGTGAGGTGAGAAAAGACAACAGGCAGTGAAAGTTGAGATGAACTAGACAGAAGGGGTGGTCAGTAAGAAAGACGAAGAACACACTCATCAAAGTATTTAAAAGGAAATGTCTTGTAACGGAATTTCACCATTCTTTTCCACTGTGAGCATATATTTAAGAAATTCACAAATAAATTTCGCTTTCCCATTAGATCCAATGAATAAACCAAGGTTTTACATTTCTTTCAGCTTCAGCTGCACATCTGACCAGCAAATTCATGGCAACCAGAGCCTGACAGTATTCACTGCTAGTCTACCTGCAACTCAGTTTGACATGCTGGTCAGATACTGAAAATTGCCATAGCCACGAGCACAACACTATAAGGTGCCCAGCAACACCACACGCTGCTGGCCACCTGCTCCACGAGTACAAATCTGCATTGACTCCATGCAACAATTTTTTTTCTCATTTGATTGTAAAGGTGGCAGTTAAATTCATAAGACGGATCAACTTAAAAACAGCAAATGTGACATTCTTTTTATGAGCAAAGAAATAAAAAAATACTTCTTTTAATGAGCAAAGAAGGTAATGGTTAATGCTCAAGTTTGTCATAAGACTGCACATAGGTCAGCTACAGAAAGGGTAATTCAGTTCTGCTTAAGAACAAGACCTACTTATTGTCACATATTCCAACTAGCTCCAAAACCTACATGCTCATCTCACTGCCATGAAATTTGGGATGCCACAGAGGCAGTAGTCCAAATCCCTGGTCATTTGAGGCAAGCTGAAGCACTTTCCTGGAAAACAAAGACAAAATTCAGCATCCATTTTCCATTAATCTTCCAGATTCTGCCATCACATCTCTGCGCACAATTGTAAATAAAATCACAAATTAGTCATGCTGACAGCATTCTTATTTATTTGACATTTTCTTCAGCTATTATATTTTATTATTCACTCCCAATTCAAGGAAATAAAAGCAAACTTCCTGTCCCTGTCATATAATGTCAATTTGCGTGTTAATTGATTCGTGAAGTGATTCGAAAAAGCCAGGGCCTACAGGCCATACCTGGTCTTTACAACTCACCCCATTACTTCTGCCCAACATGCAAGCCCAGCTGTGGGAAGATGCCCTCAGTATAACACAAATGGAGACCACAGAGAGCAGGAAATACAGAGTCCAGGTACAGACCATCTCTGTAGTATAAGGAAACTGCCTTGAAGTAAGCAGAAAAAAAAAAAAAAAAGGGAGAAAGAGCCAGCTGCATGGCCCAACGACAGGCTGAAAGAGACAAACAGAACATCTAGAAGACGCATATAGAGCCTAGATTGGTTTAGATTTCAGATTACTAATTAAAAGGTGGAAAAGAAAAAAAACAAAAAAAGAAAATGGGTTTCTATTCTCCAGTAGACTGATAGCTGTATACACACACAAACACACCAGAATGCAGTATTAATGATTAATGACAGCAATTTAGTATTAATGATTTAGTAGGACAGCCACATAAGTTGGACTGAAAATAAGTCAGGGTCCTTGTGCTGTGGGAAGCAGATAAAGAAAAGAACACATCGACTTCTATCACACAGGTTACTGCAACTGTTATGGAAAACATCTCAATGGAGAGATCCATTAGGATCTCTCATCAGTTAAATAATCAAATTCTGTAATCCTCATCTGTTTAGAATAGGTATGCAGTAAACTTATCTGAGAACCACACAGCTTGTTTGACATTTTACATACAGAACATCATAGTAAGGATAAAACTATATATCCTCGTAAGGGGGTGTTGAGAGGCAGGAGACCTTTTTTCCATTAACACCAGTGACAGGACCCACGGGAACGGGGTTAAGCTGAGGCAGGGGAAATTTAGGCTTGACATCAGGAGGGGGTTCTTCACAGAGAGGGTGGTTGCACACTGGAACAGGCTCCCCAGGGAAGTGGTCACTGCACCGAGCCTGACTGAATTTAAGAAGAGATTGGACTGTGCACTTAGTCACATGGTCTGAACTTTTGGGTAGACCTGTGCGGTGTCAAGAGTTGGACTTGATGATCCTTAAGGGTCCCTTCCAACTCAGGATATTCTATGATTCTATGATTCTATATATATGTATATAATTAAAATGGACAACTTAATTTCTACATGAAACACCTCACTTGTTCAAAAAGAACATTCATATTTTAGCAAGACAGTCCAAAAATATCTTAAAAACCAGCTTTGCAAAACTTTAATCTCAAAACCAAGACACAGAACTAAGAAGCTGTACTTATACTACATGAGTTGTTGCTACTTCTGACAGAGCTGTAAGATGCTCCTAACACACACAATTTTACATTTGAATGGTATTTTAAAAGGCAGCACCTACACCTTAGAGTAAAGTCTTAGAGTGGAAATGTTAAACTACATAACAAAAATGGCACTGTCATTAGGTTTTTCAGTCCTATCATAGGTCTACATATAGTACTGTCTAACTTTCATTCACTCATCCTTTGATACACAATTCACACACAACACATCTTTTGCCCCGGTATTAAAATAAAGTACTTAACACAAAGGTAAAAGCAATTCTTAATGGATAACTCGGAAGACTGGTGTATTGCCTGGTACATGTATAGACAAGGTCAGCTTGCCCAAATAGTACATTACTGTCTGGTCTTTACAAAAAAGAAAGGAAAGAAAAAGAAGAAAAGTAGATACTTCATGTACCTTACAACAGACTCAGATTTCACCCATCAATAAAGCTAGAATGCTGAGCAATTTCAGGGGAGCATGGGTATGTATGTGGGCCCATACCCCATATGGCTCAGCAAATTGAGGACTGAGATAATTGACCCACTGGCAGAGCAGCTCCTTAAATGCTGATATTGCTTAGTAGAAGAAACAGAGCATGGAGTGAAGAGCCTGACCATCCACCTGTGAACAACAAGCAAAGAAAAATGGCAGTTTGCAGAAAACTGTGTAAGACTACACTAACTGAATCACAGAATGTTAGGGGTTGGAAGAGACCTCAAAAGATCACCTAGTCCAATCCCCCTGCTGCAGCAGGAGCATGTAGATCAGCTCACACAAGAACGCGTGCAGGGGGGTTTTGAATGTCTCCAGAGAAAGAGACTCCACAGCCCCCCTGCGCAGCCTGCTCCAGTGCTCTGTCACCCTCACTGTGAGAAGTTTCTTCTCACATTTAAGTGGAACCTCCTATGGTCCAGCGTGCACCCATTGCCCCTTGTCCTATCATTGGATGTCACTGAGAAGAGCCAGGCTCTGCTCTCCTAACGCTCACCCTCCACGCGTTATAAACGTTAATAAGGCCTCCCCTCGGTCTCTTCTTCCCCAGGCTGAACAGACCCAGCTCCCTCAGACTCTCCTCATAAGGGAGATGCTCCACTCCCTTCATCCCCCCCCGTGGCTCTGCGCTGGGCTCTCCAGCACCTCCCCGTCCTTCTTGAGCCACAACACCCCAGATCCCTCCGACCCACCCCCAGCCCCGGCCTTCCCCACAGCCCCCAGCGGGTCCGGGCGGCTCCGTGTCCGCCAAGCGAGCGGGACGGGTCCCGCCGCCATGCCGCGGCCCTGTCAGAGCGCGGAGGGGAGGGCCGGGCAGGCCAGAGGAGGGCAGTGGCCGCCCGCCTGCAGCGCCGCCGCTCACCGTCGGCCAGCCCGAGGCGGTAGCAGGCCAGCGGCTCCAGGGACAGCTTGTAGCCCTCGAAGCGGGGCTCCAGCAGCAGCCGCTTGGCGCGCAGCGAGCAGCTGGTGGCGGCCGCCATGTCGGGGCTGCGCGGGGCCCCTCAGCACCGCCCGCCAGCAGCGCCGCCGCCGCGGGGCACGCTGGGAGTTGTAGTTCCGCCCCGAAGGCTGCTGCCGGGAGGAGCCCTCAGCCCTGGAGCACGCCGGGAGCTGTGGGCGCCCAGCTCGACGTGGCCGCGCTAACTACATTTCCCAGCGGGCCCTGCGAGGAGGGAGCGGGTGGTGAGCGCCCGGCCCGCTCGGTTCGGTCCGGCTGTGGGGGGGGCGGGGTAGGGGCTGAGGCGGCCGGGGCGCTGAGGGGGGGGGGGGCTGCGGGTGAGCGGTGGCAGGGGGCGGGCGTGGAGCCCCAAAATGGCCTGGGGGGAAGGGACCCGAGCCCTGACTCCAGCCCTGCTGTGGGCAGGGACACCTCCTGCCCGCCCAGGGTGCCCGCAGCCCCATCCATGAGGGGCACCTCAGGGATGGGGCAGCCACGGCTCCTCTGGGCAGCCCCCGCCCGTGTCCCCCCCGTTGCGTTCTCGCAGCCCCGTCGGTGTCGGTAGCCTCGTAATTTTCTGCTTCCCCGCCTAGGTCAGCTTTGCACCATGAATAAGGACGCCCAGATGAGAGCCACCATTAACCAGAAGCTGATCGAAACGGGGGAGCGGGAGCGGTAAGTGGGCAGTGGGCGTTGGGCGCTGCCGCCAGACGGGAGCGGTGCCTTGGTCAGAACACCACGAAAACACCGAAATTTTAAATGGCTGAATAAAAATATTATCATCTGAACGCTTCTCTGATTTTACCCTTTGAATAAAGGATGGGGTGGTTGGCCTGAGAACTCCAAAGCTTCTTTGTCTGGCAGGTTGTGTTGGGGAGCTCCTGGCTTACGCACAACTTGTTAAAATACAAGTTTTTGCAGTTAAATCTTATTATTTCATGATATGAGGCAACCCTTGCTTTTCTGCTTTTGAAGTTTTCTTCTGTGTTCCTATGTGTTCTTTTGCCGGGGAAAGAAATATATAGTAGAATAAAACAGCACCCATAGAAGTCATGGTAGAGAGCCCAATAAAGGCCAACAAGTAAACTACGTGGTGTATTGTGGCAGCTGGTTTTCAGCCTTTTGTTGTCTTTTCACTGTTTTGTTTCCATTATATTCATGCAACATCAGCATGCTTTTAATGTTCCACGCCTCACTTCAGTGTAGGTGTAACCATACCCAAAAAGCTCAGTTTTCTTCATTGTCTAGGCCTGTATAAGGAGCCTTCTTCCTAGGTCATTACACAGCCAGGTACCTACCGTAACTTCATGCAGACTGACAAGGTGCCTGTGCTCTCCTTCCCACCTAGCTGTGACCAGCCCCTTTCTTGATATGGTGCTGGGACCAATTTTATTCTAGGGATAGAGTAATCAGAGTTTTGACAGAATGTCAAAAGTTGTATTGTCAACAAATTTGACAGGAGACCAAGCACTCAGATTTCTTGACTTTAAGAAATACCCAGTAGTAGTGAATTTGACGTACATTGTTGTTTTGCTTTTTCTTAGCAGTTTGTCTTCCCTCTATACAATTAATGGAGTAAAAAGGATTAGAACTACCAAGTTCAGCTTCTTGCTGCAGTCCAGTTACTCAGAAAAAAAGAATTTTGCTAAGGTAGTTCAGGGTGGTACAAGATAAGTCAGCTTATTTCATCTAGTTGATGAAATAAAAGGTGAAGATACTGCTTTAATTTTCTCTTCTTCTGTTTTTCAGTAATAACTTTTTAGTTTAGTTTCCCTTCAGTATTCTCTTTCAATACACATAGTAAATGTATCATTGTTTCTTACTCACATAGTTTCTAGTCACACTTAGGAAGCAATACAGTGTTTGTTTTAGTTTAATTGATTAAAATTAAGTAGAAAAGATTCCTTATATATAACAAAGTAGATTTCTGTTGTTTAATTGGTAAGGTTTCTCAGTTCCAATTTGAATTTGAAACACCAAAACACTTTTCAAATAAATTTTAAAATAAATAAATAAATAAAAACTTCTGCAATTGCATTATATACGTGGAGATTTCTTTAATTCTTACTATGCTACTACAAGATGTAAGATTCCTTTCCCTTATTCTTCACCCAAAACAAAGTAAAGCATAACTGGGGAGACAGCTGAAGACAAAAGTAGCACCAAATTCTTGTTTCAGAAAGGATGGGAGACGGCTTTATGTTGAAAGTCTTGTTTAAACTAAATATTCCAGCTTTGAATGTTGGCATACATTTGCAACAGAGTAGTCTCAGGTAGTTCACGTGATTCTACATCTTTTCTGTGGCTGCAGCATCAATGCTACCTTAAGAAAGATTGAGTTAGCTTCTGAACCAACTCCTTCTCATAGTCCAAACGTTGTACACTGAAACTGATACTCATTCAGGATGGGATTCACATGCTATTCAGCCATTTCTGCTGCTGGTCTGGAAATTCTACTATGAGTAGTAACCATGGGCTTACTTTTCATGCTGAAGCATATTTGAGCTTGCTGGGAATGTGTGCTGTTCCTAATAATTTTGTTTATTGTCTTAATAGCCTTAAAGATTTGCTGAGAGCCAAGTTAATTGAATGTGGCTGGAAGGATCAGTTGAAGGCACATTGCAAAGGTAATTGGTGGTCAAATAAATAATCCTTTGTAGTCAACTGAGGTTGTGGTCAAATAAAGGTCCCATGTGAAAACTTTTACTGTCTAACAGTCAATTTAAATTGTATTTAGGGAAGCAAAAATATCCCTGGCAGTTGTTTTCATGTGCAAGAAAGCATCTTGCCATCTTCGCCAAAAAAAATCTTGAAGCTTTTCTCTGATCTGAAACTCAATAAGTGCCTGAGAAAAAAATTGAAATCAGTTCCCTAAATATTCATGACCATACAGCTTCTTGTTTTGAGAAAGATGAATTCTTACACAACTTAAAAATATAAAAATAATTGTGTCATTTGCATACAGGAGAGAAAAATATGCATTTTTACTGCTTTTGAATACAATTCATGAAAATAAGATCATCTCTCTAATTGAGAGAAAACAAGCTGATGAACCTCTGCATACCCACAATTTCAGCGTTAAATCAACTATAATTACTAAAGTTTACTGACTTCTATGAAACTGTTATTTTATAAATAGTATTTCAGCCTCCAGAAGTATTACTACATGGTCAAATTTGCTTAGCATAAATAACATATCCTTTGAGCTTTCACTTTTATTCTGATTTGGTCTATCAGCCGAAATTTTTATGGGGCTGTGTATGACAAATTGTTTTCATAGGTGCATTTGCAGAGAATGCTGATGCCAGTGCTACGGATTACCCATTTCAATAGTACGGGTAATAAAGGGAAAGTATATATGCCTTTTCAACTATACGTTTTGTAATCTGCTGTAGTAAAGTTATTTGGAATTACTGAATTTATGTTTGTATTTTGAACTGTAACTGCAGCTGCTGAGAAGGCAAATATAAGTTCAGTTGTCCTTACTAAGGGCATAATAACCTCCAGTAGAAAACAGAGGGGTTTTGCTTGTTTGTTTGTTTGGTTGGTTTTGGTATCTTGATCTATATCATGGAATGGTTTGGGTTGCAAGGGACCTTAAGGCCCATCCAGTTCTAACCCCCCTGCTATGGGCAGGGACACATCCCACCAGACCAGGTTGTTCAAAGTCTCATCCAGCCTGGCTTAGAACACTTTCCAGGAGGAGGCATCCACAACCTCTCACCTGTGTGGATAAGGGCCAATAATTGGGCAATCCAAAATAAATTTCTATAGGAATTTAACACCCAAAAATACTTGACAAATCGTTCGCATGATGTCAGTTCAGAAAATATATTTGGTACCTTGGACACTAGCATTCTCCAATTCTCAGAAATACTGACGTACAGTTAAAACATGCATGTTTAAACAAAATATGTTGGGTTTGTGCTTCTGAATTGAGGCTTTTCAGCATTGACTTCTGCATTTTTTTCAGTAGCCTTCTAGGTAGTATAAGTAGGCAATTTGTTAAAATGCAGGTATGTGTATGTGGGTTGTCTTAAGGATTGCTTTTATTTTGTGGCAGATTTATACCTTTCAAACTTGCTTTTTTACTGTCCTGGAGTTTAAGCAACATAGCTCTATAATCTATTTAGGAAGAGTTGTAAGTTTACTGCCTGTGCAGTAAAAAACTTTCCAGTTGCATCTTTCTCACTGTAATGTAAATAATGATTTTGAAGAGATGTTTAGGCTAGCTTGCAAACTCCAAAATGCTCTAGTAATGTGCACATCATCTGGTAATGCTCAGATAAACTTAAACCTTCTAATATTTGATTTTAACCTATGAGCTGGCTGAGATACATCAGTAGTAGTAAGCTTCCATCCTGAAGCCTATGGCACAAATTGGAGACTAAATCCACTGAGCAATGTAGTAGGTAGTGAGTTAATAACCTACATCTAGGTCAGAATCTCTAGGCTGCTTTGATACCTGCAGGCTTTATATCTTAATCATTGACAGAGGTTTTGTCTTCTACTGAATGAATTAAGACTTCAAATGTCTGTCTTGGTCTTCCCCAGATGTCATCAAAGAAAAAGGATTAGAGCATGTCACTGTTGACGACCTGGTGGCAGAAATCACTCCAAAAGGCAGAGGTAAGAAAACACAAGAATGGGTGTTATTCTTGCAATACAGGTAGGTATGTTCATTAATGTATTATATATTGAAACTATGAACTTGTCTGTGTTGGATGCAAGGAAAAACATTAATATCTTGATTTTAATTATGAATAAGACATGTAAATGGGTATTGTGTAACAGCCATTCAAAAGTTGTAATGAGCTGTGTGTTTACACTACTTCTGCAGATTATGTTATTTAGTCACGAGTCTGTATTCAACTTGATGATTGATTTGATGCTCCCAACAAAATTTTGGGTGAGGTAAAGATGTTTTAAAATTCAGTTCTGTCTTCTGTTTCCCAAAGCCCCATCCATCTTGACCTTGAACACCCCCAGAGATAAGGGATCCACAACTTCCAAGGGCAACCTGTTCCAATGCCTCACCACCCTCATAGTAAAGAATTTCCTCCTATCATCTAATCTAAATCTCCCCTCTTTTAGTATAAAACCATTCCCCCTTGTCCTATCCCTATCTGCCTATGTAAATGTCACTCTCCATCTTTTCTATAAGCCCCCATTAAGTTCTGAGAAGCTGCAATGAGAACTCTCACAGAGTTCTTGCAGTCTGCGCTGCTCTCTGGGATTGCCCTTAGCCAGGTGCAGCACCTTGCATTTGGCCTTGTTGAACCTCGTTAAGCTCTCATGGGGCCAATTCTCCAGCTTGCCTAGGTCCCTTTGGATGGCATCCCTTCCTTTTGGTGTATCAGCTGCACCACTCAGCTTGGTGTTGTCTGCAAACTTGCTGAGGGTGCACTCAATCCCACTGTCTGTCACTGATAGACTTTAAACAGTACTGGTCCCAGGACAGACCCCTGAGGGACACCAGCAAATAGTCATTACCAGCCTCCACTGGAATGTAGATCCAGGAAACATATTTCTTTATATAATTTTTATTGGACTCTAATAAACTTTGGTTTTAATGGGTGAAACTTCATTCAGTCTTAAAAAGTAGATATTCAAGATAATGTGCTTAATACCTTCACTCAGTGGTCATGGCTGAGATATTTGCTCTTAAATTTCTGAATGAAAGAAGTACCCAGGATGATCAAAGCAGTTTCTGGTCATTATGTCCTTTCTACTGTTGAGTAATCCTTTTCCTCAAATTCTCAAATTTTCTTGACTATGGTCATGCAGAAACCTGCTTGGTATTAGCATATTTTCCCTTTTGTCTTTTTCATTTCTTGCTTTCTTATGTATTTCAGCCTTGGTACCAGACAGTGTGAAGAAAGAACTCTTACAAAGAATAAGAACCTTCCTCGCTCAGCATGCCAACCTTTAACTACAGCAGTCGTCTTGGATACAGTATTACTGTTTCTGCATTATGTCAGTCGTGTCAGGATTGGAACTCAGTTTCCATGCTTAATGATTGAAATTCGTTTCTTTTTTTGTATGAGTTGAAATTTCCTTGCACTGAATCAATTTCTTGGTGTTATTTTAATAAAAAAAAAAAAAACGTGGACTTGTGGTTCTATGGCTCCTGATCAATATACTGTAACACAGTATCATCTATTTCACTTTTTAGTTTTATAATCCAGTACTGTACAGTTGTGTAGAGCTGTTCAGATTCTCCTCACACACACAGCAAAAACACAACAACAAAAAAAAACATGTTTAATGAAAAATGCAGAAGGGGAAAGAATTTGGTGGAAGATGGGATATGACGTGCTACTGAGCACAGTCTTTCTCATTTTCCCTAAGTACCCTGATAGCATGAAGAAATTAAAAGCCTATATGAAGCTCCTGGTGCCCTTCCTCTTTAGTGCTTTGTTGCTGGGGAGCGAGTGGTTAGAAGTCTAACTTGTGCTGTGCATCCTTAGTAACTGGTCAAAGGTTGAATTATTCAAACAAAGCCATTTTTATCTTTAATCAGTAATTCTTCTCCCATTTACTTTAATTACAAAGACTCACTATTCTGATCCATGAAAATGTCTTTTCTAGCTTTGCCCACATCACTGGTAATTTTTAATTTTGTGGATGTTTGGACCTTTCGAAATTTAAGTGTGATACAGTAATATGGCAACATAAGTTTCAAGATAATCGATTTTAAACTTGTATCTGCAACTGCAGCATCAGCCAAGTCTATAAATAATGCAGAGAATAATGTTGAACAGAGGATATAGAAAGTGACTTTGAAGTGAGAATACTTAGTTTTAGGGAACCTCAACGTGAGGTAAGTGTCTTAATAGGTTATGAATTGTAGAAAGCATAAGCAGAAACTGAGCAATTGTATGCTACTGCCTTGGCTGCGATGAATAATGAATTGACTGAACCTAAATCTTGATACTCCTAATTAGAAGAATACACGGAAAGCTATCACACAGAGCTGTTGAGACATGCAGTTGCTTAGACGAGTGTGCCTGTTGGAGCGGGGTTTTTGACTTGCTGATTGCCGAGGAGAGGTTGCAGGAGAAGCCCAGGAGGTGGCACCCGCGTCCCCAGTTTGAGCACAGACAGTGCTAGAGTGCAACCGCTCTGTGAAATTTATCTGCCCCAACTGGTGAGCAGGAGAGCAGGATCTACCAGTAACTGCAGGTTAAGTACGGCACTAGACACAAATCAGTATCTATCTGAGCACAAACACCTTTTCTCCATCTGAAACCACGTTCCTGCCAAGACTGGAGCGTGGCATGAGCCAAGATCAGGGATCTGCTGTGTGATACAGATGCTCTTTTCAAGCCCCTGGGCTGTGCTGCTTTAAATCATGCCAGCTTGAGCATGCTTCCTGCGGGTCATTGTCTCTACACTATTAAACAATGGCAGATGCTGAAAAGAAGAAAATTCTTTCTTCTATTTAAAGATCCATGGACTTATTTGGTAAAAAGTTTATTTGCAATTAGTATGTTCTGTTTAAGTTGCGTATATGGATATTCATTCTGAGCTTTTCATTCTAGGCTTGATTTACCCAAGAGTAACTGGTAGAATACAGAATGTTTCTATACATAATCCAGCAGAATGCAGGCTACCTACGTGTCTGTTTAATATATGGCAAGGCTGTAAAATATCTTCCATATTCTTACTCTTTTGTTCTTGGAGGTCTTCCCTGGTGCTCTGCAATATTTTCCACATGACTTTACAAGTCTTTGCTTGATGAATGGCTGCAGTGTGTCTAGAACTTGCTCCAGAGCTTCCACTGATTTCCTTCATTTTACATCTACAGCAATGGGAGCGAGACAGTCTTAAAGTATTCATCTACCTAACTGTGTAAGGTTTGTTGTCTGATTAATAACCATTTGAGATTTCATCTAGAACATGACAGTTCTGTAAATACACCGGTAGGCTGCTGTAAGTGCTCTGTAGTTCTCTTCTGTAAGCAGCTCACACTTGGCAGAGAATAAAACTGAATGCCCTATGAATTTTCAGAAAATTGTGCTGACCAATCTAAGTTTAAAAGCTGGAAAAATAACTCTTTCACATACTTCCAAAAATAAGTTGTAATGTGTTGCCCAGACTGGCTTTAAATGTAAGAGCATTCAGAAGGAAGAGGAGAGAACTGCTGCCGACCAGACACACGTCAGCAGCTTGTCTCGGGGTGGCCCAGGCTGCTGTCGGATGCCAAAACTGAGAGCAGCAGTGAGGTCTGCTCATCAGGACAGTGCAGCCTCTATACATTACCTAGGTAAAAAGCATGTTTGACCGCATAGAGAGATCCAAAACACACCAGCGTGGACTGGTCAGATACCCTGATAGACCCTCAAAGAATGAGGTTAGGTTTAGGTTGCTATTGGCAATGGGAGATGGTTTCTTGAGAACTAAATAGCTCCCCTTAGTGACCTCATATTTTTGTTTTAATTGCAGGTTTTATTCTCAGATGCATAGGATGCCTTTGTTTTGCAAACTGTTGTCTGCACAATCTGTTTCTACTCACTTGGCTGAGTATTGAAAACAATTGGTAACATCCAAGGTTCAGACAGACAATTATTGTCCTGATGATTTGGTTTTGTTTTTTACTCACTGAAAAATCCCATGTCCCATGCTGCCAAAGATTCCATACCTATAACATATACAGACAGATATGTTAACTTGTTTACCCCCAAATTTCTGCATTTCCAATGTCAGGAAACCTATCTTTTCCTTACCAAGGTTTTTGGCAGCACCCAAAACTGGATAGCTAAGAATGATCTTTCCAGCAGATCCTTTGGGGCGACAGCTCCACACTACTTAACCTGTGCCTTCATCCTTTCTTTCACATGGCTGAATGTGTTTAATTGCAGTGATTGTGGCACCTTACAGCCTGGCTCTAACTTCTTTAGTGATTGAGTTTTCACTGCAGCAATGAGGAACATAATGCTTTTACCTGTTGGCTCTCTAAATTTCTAAACATTTGCAATTGAAATCAGAATTGTTTTCTACTTGGCCTGTTTTTCTCAGCTATTCAGTTTCTGAAAGAAACAGCTGTGGCTACAGAGACAAATCTGTAATGATTGGAGCCCAAAATGAGGAAGAAAAAAAATTCCTTTCCTCATAAATAATTTATAGTTCACTGCTTCAGTGTAATGAATAGGTTAATCAGCATTCTGCCTGGGATAAGAAAAGGTCTAGGCTTGGTTTAGTGTATTTCACATTTACTGTGGCACTTTGCATCTGAACAGTATTCTCAACATGTTCTTCACGCTTACCTTATAAGTAATTAAGTGATTTACTACTAGATGATAAAAAACAAGTCCCTGTAGGAAATCCCTGCTGATTTCTGTTTGTTGGAGTTACTAGGAGAGAGGTTATTCATTCTTTCAATTATTGATTTGGAGGTAAAGTATCAAGCTGCTGCTGATAAAATCTGTGGTTGGCACACCTATCAGGGAGTGCTGACAAGGGCAGAGCACCCTGTCCTGTTCTGCTGGCTGGCTCTGCTCAAGTATCTGCATACAAATTCGGCTCAGTGCTGTGTTTTTATGCCTAGCTGCAGAGGGCGAAAGCAGCACTTAATTCCCTGGAAAGCAATGATACTGAAAATCACAGTGAAAAACTCATCATCTGCTTCTGTGTGATCTTTCAAGGCGTTTGAGCAAAGATGAGCATTGCATCACGTTATCTTTGTGTGCTGTATGAGTGAGACTGACACTCATGATGTACGATTCTCATTTTTGAAAGGAAGTAGAAAAAATTGAGTGCTGAAAAGGGAAAGGGGAATTATTGAGGGCATGCACTGCTAGTTAAGCTTTTTAAATCTTCCAGTATTAGTTTATTGAAAAGAAAACCAATAGAAAATACCATTGTGGTGTATCAGAACCTCCTTGGGGAGCAAATACGAAACAAAGGGTCCTTTAATCTCACAGAAAAGGTAGTAAAAGGAAATAGAAGTCAGACAAATTCCAATTTAAAATAAGAAGATGGTATATGCAAAATTACAGCTACCTAATCACTGGAACAAACTATGAAGAAATATGGTGGGGCTTTCATTTTTCAGTGCTTTCCTGAATACTCAATGCCTTTGTGGAAGAGCTGCTTTAGCCCACTTGCTTGAGCCCACTCAAACTTTCTGCAAGTTCAGGACTCACCTAGGAGTGTTCCCTGGAGCTGCCAGCAGCAGTTCAGTTTCAGATGAAATATTTCAGATGAAATATTCCATGTTTTCAGATGAAATATTCCATGTTTTCAGATGAAATATTCCATGTTTACACTCATTCTCCCCTGCAAAAGAAACAGAGGTATCCCAAAAAAGTTAAGGACCAGAGCAGTTCACTCACTTGTAGACAAGACTCACTTGTCTTCTTCACTTTTTAACTCTTCTGTGCTGGAAAAGCTGACCTTGAATGCTATTTTCTAGGATCAAACTTTAAATGAATCCTAAGGATTTCCATAAAGAAAAATACTGCTCTAGCTGAACACAAGCAGAATTGGTTAGTCACAGTGCAGGTGTTATGGGGTAGAATGTAATGACCTAGGAATCTACAGTGGAAATGTCAGTAGCAGTTAGGCATTGCAAAATCTTTCTGATAACTCAGGCTGAAATATTCTCTCATCTAGCTAACCCGTTTGTTAACTTTTTCATGTGCATTTCATTCTGAGACAAGTTTCTGGCCCAATCCTAGATCAGAAAGCCAATATTTGAGTAGTTAAGATTAGGTTTCAAAATACCAGTTGACATATTTTTTGCAAGAGGATGTTTAGCAAATAGTCAGTGGACAGAAGAGTCCTCTTCTCCCTCCAATGACTAAAGATCAGAAAGAGAAGGAGTATAATCTATGCCTAGTTTTTGGCTGTTGACTGCTGCAATGATATAGCAGGCTTAAAATACTTCCTCACTGTCATGAGGTAAACAGAAAAACTTGATAAAGACTGAAAAATGTATTTATATCATTTCCTATTTTAATTTCTTTGCTACCTCCCCATGCCTATCTCTATGAGATCACACAGTTATATTCAAACCAGTTGTTGTTTCCCTACCACCACCAAAACTGCAAACAAGTTAACTCAAATTTAACTGGCACAGTGAAGTTTTTCTGAAGGTCACCTTGATCT